GGATTTTCAAAACAATGAAAAGACAATGGAACATTCTGATCACTGGATCATGACTGGATGACATGGAGAACAGTGAGATTTTCAAAACAATGAAAAGACATTGGAACATTCTGATCACTGGATCATGACTGGATGGCATGGAGAACAGTGGGATTTTCAAAACAATGAAAAGACAATGGAACATTCTGATCACTGGATCATGACTGGATGACATGGAGAACAGTGAGATTTTCAAAACAATGAAAAGACAATGGAACATTCTGATCACTGGATCATGACTGGATGACATGGAGAACAGTGGGATTTTCAAAACAATGAAAAGACAATGGAACATTCAGATCACTGGATCATGACTGGATGGCATAGAGAACAGTGGGATTTTCAAAACAATGAAAAGACAATGGAACATTCCGATCACTGTGTCCTGACTGGATGGCATGGAGAACAGTGGGATTTTCAGAACAATAAAAAGACAATGGAACATTCCGATCACTGGATCATGACTGGATGACATGGAGAACAGTGGGATTTTCAGAACAATAAAAAGACAATGGAACATTCCGATCACTGGATCATGACTGGATGGCATAGAGAACAGTGGGATTTTCAAAACAATGAAAAGACAATGGAACATTCAGATCACTGGATCATGACTGGATGGCATAGAGAACAGTGGGATTTTCAAAACAATGAAAAGACAATGGAACATTCCGATCACTGTGTCCTGACTGGATGGCATGGAGAACAGTGGGATTTTCAGAACAATAAAAAGACAATGGAACATTCCGATCACTGGATCATGACTGGATGACATGGAGAACAGTGGGATTTTCAGAACAATAAAAAGACAATGGAACATTCCGATCACTGGATCATGACTGGATGGCATAGAGAACAGTGGGATTTTCAAAACAATGAAAAGACAATGGAACATTCAGATCACTGGATCATGACTGGATGGCATAGAGAACAGTGGGATTTTCAAAACAATGAAAAGACAATGGAACATTCCGATCACTGTGTCCTGACTGGATGGCATGGAGAACAGTGGGATTTTCAGAACAATAAAAAGACAATGGAACATTCCGATCACTGGATCATGACTGGATGACATGGAGAACAGTGGGATTTTCAGAACAATAAAAAGACAATGGAACATTCCGATCACTGGATCATGACTGGATGGCATAGAGAACAGTGGGATTTTCAGAACAATAAAAAGACAATGGAACATTCCGATCACTGTGTCCTGACTGGATGGCATGGAGAACAGTGAGATTTTCAGAACAATAAAAAAACAATGGAACATTCCGATCACTGTGTCCTGACTGGATGGCATGGAGAACAGTGGGGTTTTCAAAACAATGAAAAGATAATGGAACATTCCGATCACTGGATCATGACTGGATGGCATGAAGAACAGCGGGATTTTCAGAACAATGAAAAGACGATGAAACATTCTGATCACTGGATCATGACTGGATGGCATGGGGAACAGTGGGATTTTCAAAACAATGAAAAGACAATGGAACATTCTGATCAATGGATCATGACTGGATGGCATGGAGAACAGTGAGGTTTTCAAAACAATGAAAAGACAATGGAACATTCCGATCACTGGAACGTGACTGGGATGAGTCCACCTAACTTTGGTGAGAAATTTTAAAATCACTAACCCTCTACCTACATCCGTGTGCAGTAGTAGTATATGCACAAATACAACACGAAAGATTTTAAACCATTTCATATAACTTTATAACTTTATAACTTTATAAATGTCATTACAATTTTTTCTGCGAACAATAACAATATGACGTAATATATAGCATTATAATTTCAACGTTTTTTAAACTACTATAGAAGTACATGAATATGGTGAAAGGGCAGCAAATTGACGGATTATCAGTGAAGACAAAATAGATGCTTGTTTATCTACTCAGACACAATTGCGTTCAGAACCATAGCCAGTTAACAGATCGCACTATTCTATCTCGGCAGTTCACACTAAGATGGATAATCCGTTATCCGTCTCTGTTATAATTCAATTGGGCACATTGATCAAAACATTGTTGATTAGCCTCAGTTGCTTGTTCCTAGGTAGTAGTTGTGACAAGTTTGGAACAAGTTGTTATCACCTTGTTACAAGGTTGATGATGGTAACAGGCTTGCTACAAGTTGTTTCAACAAGACTAATACAGGCTGTTCGTAACAAGTTGCTACGAGCTTGTTGTCATCAACTTGTTACGTGCAGACGATATCAGACTTGTTAGAACAACATGTTGCGAGCTTGTGTTGGCCTCATCAAGCTTGTTACAAGATGATGACAAGGTGTTGCAGGCTTGTTACCAAGTGGGGACAAGCAGTGCGAACACATCTTGTTGAAATTTGTACGCGTGTAGCAAGCTAAAGTTTTAAAATCAACGACCTATTTCGTATGCATGTTTGTGTAATTTATATATCAATTTATATATTTTCTGCAATGTCTGCTCTGCGACGTGATATTGTTAAAACAGCCAGTATCTAACGTAAATGATGAAAATGAGTAAAACGATTGCAACGGCGGCATATTTTGCGTAAGCAGTTCGTAGATTTAAATACTGTGCGTCTGACTTGTATTTTCCCGACTGATACTTTAGTTTGCCAGCTTTGTCATCTAATTCTGAAAGAGTAGAAAACATTACGCGTAAATAGCTGGAAATCTTACAGCTGTCATAGTAGAATAATGTTAATTCTTTTCATTATATATATATATATATAGCACCAGGGGTGGGAAAATAGGCGAGCACGCGAGCACTGCTCGCAGGAAATGTTAAACAGCTGCAGGAAATTCGTTTGAATGAAGATTTGCTATTGAAAATTTGAAGGAAACCTTAACATCCATGTACCACTATGGGCGCAACAACGTATGGTTGACAGACATTCCTTGAATTTAAAACCATGGTCAGCTAGAACACTATATGTTTATCCACATGCAGATTTAGCACAAAAATACTCCGTTGGTCTGCAGAAAATTTTTGTCGAATGCTTTTCGTTCAAATTTCTTTGCTCTTATTTGAGATATTTTGGGTTTACATGAGTGCTAATTTAATTTGTAAACAAACTGTAAGGGCGTAGTGTGAACACACACAAATTCTGCCCAATGTAGATTGTTCACATTTTCGAAGTTAATTTATGACAATTTATTTCCTGAATATTTCACCTGTTAAAGTTTCTCCTCTTTGTAAAACTTCGTCTATATTTTGGACCATGATCCTTTGCACGTCATGTAGCTCATCATTTAGTCTATTTATATTCCTACGCGACCTTGAGTCCATGAAATTTTTCCTCACTTTTTGAATGTAATTATCTGCAAAGCATAGCTCACAATTTGATATTGAATGAAGTAATATTCTTTCCTTATTTATAATAGATAGCTTTAGATCAGTTCGAAACTGTTTCTTGAAAAGCACCATCACTTATTGATCCAGTGTTACTACAGGAGGAAACCTAAACTAAACTAACTTTATTGATATACACTGGATAGCTCTATCAGTTCTAAACTGTTCTCTTTAGAGGTCCAGCGAGGGACATCTCTTATTGAGCCAGTATTACTACAGTTAGTAAAATTAGTTTTTGATAATAGTAAGTGTATTAGGACATCCAAAGGGGGTAGGGGGTTAACTTCCAATTTCCTCTGGGGGTATGGATGTTTTCTTGAGTGACCCAATGAAACCTCAAGCAACCTACCAAACTCAATAAATGAATAAGGCCGAACGACTGTTGGTATTTCAGAACTATATTGCTTCCAAAATTCCTTGGCGATGTCCTCAAGAAAACCAAATGCCAGTCTGCTTGGGAACATCTTTTCTGTAAGTGTGAGGTAGCATACGCCATTTTCTATAACGTAACTGCAAGAGATAAAATTACATGATTTTCTGCTGATCAAATGAAAATCTGGCCAATCAGTATAGGATACGTTCTGTTTATATGTTCTGTGATAATGCTGTAGTATTGCATGGTGTTCATTAACAACATTAAGACAATGGTTCTTGCCGATCAAGTTGATCGGCAACCTTGCTTCTCTGCTGATCAAAAGCAATTTCCTGCCGACAGGGTGTTAGCCAGGATTTCAAAAGTGGCCGTCCAAAATAATTTTGTGGGCGTGGTCACATATTTTTGTGGGCGTGGTCACATGTTTTTGGGCATGACCACAATTTTCTGTTGTTGAGGAATTGTGGTGTTTTATTCGTTGAACCTTTTTACTTTTAGTTTTAGATGCACATTTCCGTCATTAAATTAGTAAAACACACATATGGTATGATCACTACCGTAACTATAACATGGCGCTTGAGCGATAAAATGATTGCTGTTTTTTAAAACAGCGGTTTCACATTATTCTACTTGATACTTCATGCGAGAATCATCAAAATGGTTACAAAAATATGGCACAAAGTATTCAAGAAAATATTCCCTTGGGCTGTGCATTAAAATTTAGCCGTCCAAATTCAGAAGTGGCCGTCCATAGGACGGTCGGACGGCCACCTGGCTAACACCCTGCCTGCCGATCGTTGATCGGTCGTTATTTTGTGCCCTGAGGATAAAATTGAGAGACATAGTTTAATTCCCTTGCTCCTATAATTGTCAAGAACATTTCTGAAGTTGATAACCACCAAGTTATGCACTCAACGCTTTACAATTGCATAGGTCTTGTATTTTGGGCACGGTAACTAATTTGGGCATAACATTCAACGTTGTGTCGGAAGAGTAATATAAAGTCATGTACACTTACTGAAACATCATGCTGCCAGTTTCAATGTTACAACGAGCCGGTGATCGGTCACTAAGTTTTCTAAAAATCTGCTTTGCTTGCGCTTGATAATCTTGGAACTCTCTTCCAGACTAGTTGAATATTAGAATAGGAATATGTTTTAGCATTCATTTGAAATGGATTTTACTCTTACTAGGCCGATGTGATATATCGATATTTTTGACAAATATCTACGTTTCAAGAATGTCGATATTCGATTCTTTGCATATCGAAATTTCTTTTCTACTGTTCATGGTGCGATCTTTGCATAATTAGATATAGTCAATATTATCAATATTTGTTTATATATTGATTTTTTTTAATATCGCATCAGCCTAGCTCTTACAAAACTTCTTATTTTAAACAGTTTCACAAGTTAAGGTGCCAACTGACAAAAAAAGATCCCACTTCGTAGACTTGTTCTGCAAACAGGCCAAGGTGGGGATTAGCTCAGAATCTGCAGTTGTTAAATATTTGGGATGAAAACTGACCTTTTTTAGTAAACTGGACATCTAATGGTCCACAATAGTCCCTATAATTTTGAAAGGTCGGTGCCCCAGTCTGGAAAGTTTGGAATGTGCAGCCAAGATCTCGGGTGGGCAGTTTTGATGTTCCCAATGTATTTACTGTTAAATTTTTTTAATCTCGGACGCGCAATTTCCAAACTTTCCAGTCTGGTCGGTGCCAATGGAGGTAGCGACGATAACAAGAAAGCTAGGGATTGAGAAAGGATACAAGCAGAACTTCGACGTTTCAAGGCTCTTGAAGCGAAGTTTTGCTTGTATATATCAGGTAGTTCTAGCTCTTTCAATTTGCAGTGAACATTTATAGCGGCATACAAGAACACAAGGTTAATTTTTGGGCTCAGTGGATCACTGGAATACCAAGAGTTTATCGTGAAAGGAGTGATATAACAAAGATTAAGAAGCCTGCGTGCATTAGGGACTTTAATTAGTGCAATATTTTTATACAAAGCAACCTATCAAATTAATATATATTAGACCTACTTGCTCATCTGCTTGCATAGATGCAGCCAAAGGCAGGCCATCCCTGGCCCGGCCTATCATTGTCATTAACACCATTTTGAAAGCTTTAAAGCAGCAGAACCATAAATAAATCCAGGTTTTTTAAAGCAGCTTCTATTTTATCAGCTTTTCCAACAGTCAGCCATTGTCAATGTTTATGTTCTCGTTGCTAAATCCACGTGTACTGCGCATGGCTAATGAAGCCGGTCAAAAATGCGAAAAAATGTCGCCTTGTGAAACCAAATTTACCAACGATTTTTTGCACGAATAAATATTTTATGAAGCCGAGAAAAGGACATTTTGACATATTTCTAATGCAAAATAAAATTTACCTCCAAAGTAATGCGAATAATAAATGATCTGTCACAAAATATAAGTAAAATTAAAAATACGGTTTTTATACGCGAATAAAAATGCGCTTAATGTTGTTGGTTGACACTGAGCTATATATATAGAACTGAAGAGCCGACTGTCTGTTGTATTTCTTCACCCACCCTGTATTACCATTAAAATATGTATCTCCCGGGGGGCGGGAGGGGGAGGGAAGGGATTTCCCCGTAGTTAACTATTTATTTATAATAACTTAATTAATTATGCATTTATTCTAATTATTTCTGGTTGTCTTAATCAGGGCCACAGACTATTATGTGAAGACTCAGTCAATTTATTGATACAGAATTTGAGCAAAAAACTAAAATGGATATTTTAACTTGTAGCTGGTTAATACTTGATATTGGATGTTTGGCTATAGTTCTCAGCACTAAATTCAAAAATCTAGTACCCAGCTTTCTGCAAGACCTCATGGTGTATGGCAAGACGAGACAACTTGGACAAGACAACAGCAAGAAAAGTTTACATTGGTTGAGACAACTGCTGCTTGTGCCACATAGGTAACTGCACCGATAGATTAGTACATGTGCATACCTGCCAATTCTCCTGATTTTGTCGGATGTCACACAATTTTCTAGCAAATCTCCCGATCAAAGGTCATGTTCAATCCTGTATGGAATGACACTTTTTTGTGTGCTGGACATGTGCACCAAATACTGGTAAATATATTGCTGTACAGATGGTTGTGCTGTCCCAGACATGTCCAGCACACAGCGCTTAGATTTCATACTGGTGCCAGACAGCATTTTCTCCACCGCGCGCGGAAGATCTTCCGCGCGCATTTTTTATGCTTTCTATATATTTACTATTAAATTTTCGAAATCTTCCGCGTGCAATTTCCAAACTTTGCAGTCTGGTACTGGTGTTCACCAGATTTATCTCTGACTATGCAATTTCTATATTATAGATGGTTTATACATTTCTATGCACTGGGTCTTGTTTGGAACATTTTCCTACTGGCCATATTTGTTCACACTATTATCAAAGAAGATACATCCTATCCAGGCATGCATGGAATTGTCCAATATGTCATCACAACAAGCGCTTCGCAAACAGACTGTTTCTCTGTACTATTAACCCTAGTTTTGCTAACAATTCAATTGTTTCGAAGATTATATGAAAGCCTAATTGTGGCGTCATTCTCAGGAAAAATGCACCTCAGCCACTATGTAATAGGTGTGCTGTTCTATTTCTTGGTGAACTTAACAGTGGTTGCAGAAATACCACTCTCTCTTTCAAAAGGTACCATGATTTTTTTTTATCATAGTGGCATTGCTTATTTATTTTTGTATCTCCTCTGTTCACAATATTTACTTCTGCAGTATTCTACATGGATATGGCACAAATTGTCCCCACCCTTTTCAAATACAAAGCCAAAAATAAAAATATATATAAAAAATTTTGCAGTGTACACAGTGTGTACCTATTTTTTCACTCCATGACAAATTCCTCAGTTTATTTTTGACAAATGCCAAAATATATATTTTTAAAACTAAAGGTTGGTACAAGTCGTGTCTAAAGCCATCCCACCAAGTATCCTGGTTGCAGTTTCTGGCATTATTATTATTCCTCTGGGTAAGTTACCATCAATACCAGTGTCATACCATCCTCGGCAAGCTCACCACCTGGACAGCTGATGGTAGAAAGATCTATAAAATCCCACATGGTGATTGGTTTAACCATGTTTCCTCACCTCACTACCTTGCAGAAATATTAATTTACATCGCTCTACTCCTTGCCATGAAGGGACAAAGCTTTCGGTGGATTCTCTTGTTAATTTTTGTGGTGTCAAATCTCACACTTGGGGCACAGCATACGCACTTGTGGTATAAACAGAAGTTTGAAGATTATCCAAGACATAGATATATTATTTTACCTTATATATATTAGCTTTCTGCAAGCAATTTAAAGGTGGGAACTGTGATTAATATATCTCATTTTTCTTTATTGAAAAGACTTATTGAGACTTTTGAACTATGTAAATTTAAATCCAAAGCCGTATCTATAGGGGGGTGGGGTGACCAAGGGCATAGGAACCAGGGGGGGCACATGCCCCCCATTTTTTCAAAGGACTATAAGTGCCCTTCTTTGTGATGAAAAGTGCCCTTTTTGTACAAGCTAATGTCACTGTAAATACTAAATTAACATCAAAGGTGCCCTTTTTGTTTGGAAATTTCCAAGTTTTTAAAAAAATTTGGTCGAAAAACATGCAATTTCGGTATGGTACGACGGGAAACTTTTCCTCCCAAAAGTAATAGTTATCAAAATTTTTGACAAAGTTATGAAAATACTACCAAAAAATTTAAGAAATTATGGTACATGAATTAGAAAGTTATTGAACAATGGTATGTCCAAAAAATTTTTTACCGCCCCCCACCAACAATTTTGGGGGAAAAAGATTAATTAGTGGCTGAAATGTCGTAGGCAAATGCAATACTACACCCCCTGCTTTAGCCTCTTCCCTACAGCCCTGATTAAATCCTTGTATCCCGGCCAGTGCATTTAACAAAAAAAAATTTGGTACAACATATAGAGATGAAATAATGATTGTTTTTAAACTGCTTGAAAGGAACACAATTAAACCATACTACAAAAATATTTATTTCAATTTGTCATATTCTAATAGTATGCAACTAGCATGATGAAAACAATCCTGTCATATGCAAAATATCAAATGAAGCACCAAGTGGCAATAAGTACATGTCATCTAGCTAGGTATTTAAAATAATGTACTAAGCATTGTTAATTCATAAATATTAATTCATACAAGCAGGCTTGGGACTCGACTGTTGTGCTTTGCAAACAATGATTATTCAATTGTTTTTGAGAATTAATCATTTTCCTTATACAATAAAGAGAACAAAACTATTGTTTTTAAACAATAAAGCCATTGTCTTTAAACAATTGAACTATTGTTTTTAACAATAAAACCATTGTTCTAGCATAAAAAGCACTATGGCTGGTCCAAGCCTGCAGGTAAAGTCTACTTCATACCCCATTTACAGATTCTTTTGACAGACCCCGGTCCTGCCAAGGGTTATTCGCAGGAAAAAATAAATGTCCATTAATGGATTTTTGAATGGTAGATTTCACATATGGGAAATCTATAATGGTGAGAGTTTTTTTCCTGTGATAGTTAAAGTTCTGATTGGCAAAGCAAAAACACCTAAATTTTATGTACTCAGTTAAATGACAATGTGCCATCTTTTTATGTAAAACAACCAAGATCACAAAATATAGTACAAAACTTGTGTTCAGGATATTGAGCCACGGTTGTTATAATATATAATTTATATTAAATTTAAATAATAAATGACTCTTCAAAGAATTAGGTGTTTTTGCTATTAGTACATACCACCATTTGTATTTGTGGTCAGTCCAATACTATACAATAATGATTTCTAGTGCTATATTTTTATAACTGGGTTTTTTTACAAAACATTCTCTCACACAAATTTATTTACAATTTTTAACAGCAAACCAAGTGGTTATGGTTATTAACAATTTATCTTGGAAATTTCTTCTGAGTGAAAACTCAAACATTTCTGCTGTCTGACAGAAGACTTTTTCTTTGCAATAAGCAAAGGGATAATGACATATTTCATCTAGGAAACGGCATATGTGAATTGTGGAATAAGTTAAACTTACGAATTATATTATAAGTCAGCCATTATTTACCAAGGAAAATGCAAAGTTTAAAAGAATTAAATTAAGGAAGAAAAATTGTTGATAGCTGTACCTTCAGTATACACAATGATCTACTTATGGTAGGTTTTATAGGAATGGAAATATCTCCAAAATATTGGACTGCAAGTAGTACAGCCTTTCACTTTTGTAACTGGATTAACACTTCCCTTGACTTGTACAGACTAATTATTATTTGATAAATTTCACAAAATATTCTTTACCCCAGAGCTTATTCAGAGACACCAAAGTCCAACACCAACAATTTTGTTTCTTCCGTGCCATTCCGACTTCCAACAGCGCAGACCAATTTCGTCTCATTGCAACGTACACGCCAGACGACCCCGCCACTTCCTCCACTATCAAGCTTCACAAGATCTCGGATAAACTCACCCGTGAGACGGTCCCACAGTTTAACTGTACCATCGTCTGAGCTGGTTATCACAAACTTCTTGTTAAACTGTAAACATGTCACTGCACTCTGGTGCTTGTTTGAACCAGCGAGGGTCTGCAAGCACTGTCCAGTTGTAATGTCCCAAATTTTAACAGTCGAATCAGCATTTCCCGAGACCAGGATATTATTCCGTAGCTCCATACCACTGGTCAAGGATTGGTGACCAACCAATGTGTGAAGGCATTGGCCGGTGTCAACATGCCAAACACGGATAGATGTATCAAGAGAACCGCTGACAATGTAGACTCCATCAAACTGCAAGGAGTAGACTCTGTTCGAGTGTCCTTGTAGCGTGTGAATGCATTGCTCCGTCTCTGGGTCCCATACCTTTACTACATAGTCATAAGCACCACTAACTATGCGTCGACCGTCATACTTCACACTAAATAAATAAAAGATTAGTAGAAATTAATAAACCACATACAAAATTTATGCAAACTGAATCATTAAGTAAGGCAAAAATGGTACAGAGAATGTAATAGTTGTCCTTACCATCTAACAGCAGCAACATGACCAACTAACACATGCAAACACGTCCCAGCCTCAATGTCCCAGACTCGTAATGTCGCATCACGCGAGCCACTCACAGCAACCTTGCCATGAATATCCATGCATCGTACTGTAGAGGTATGCCCATACAAGGTATGAATGCATTGCCCAGTGTCGGCATTCCACACTTTGAGTGTGCGATCGGTTGATCCACTGACGATAAGATTACCTTCCATCTGCGAGGCCCACACCCCGCCTGTGTGCCCGACCAGGGTGCGCAAACACTTCCCTGTGATAGCGGACCAAACTTTCAGGGTGTGGTCATCAGAGCCGCTAACTATTCTATTGCTACTAAATTGTAGGCATGTTATAACGTAATCGTCGTGACCTTTGAGTATCTTGTGAGCATTCAATGGTCCATATCGCCAATTCATTGCGATTTTATGTTTGGTAAGAAACATTTTTTTGTAAGGGCTGTGGTTTGTGGTGAGATTGACACGATTATTGCCACCAGATGATGTTTTCCGTCTTGTTGGTTTCGGACTCATGATCGGTTCATCGTCAATGCCATACTCGTTGCATTTCTCCTTCCACAATCTACAGAAGAAATAAGAAATTTATGTTTTGACTTAGACAAATAACTAGGAAAAAACTCATACGTGGAAATTTAAATTTTAAAAAGTGGAACACAAAACATTGAACAGGAAACAAATTTCCTTCATGAAAATTTAAAGGAATTTTCAATTTTGAAAAGTGGAAACACCATCAGCTTTAATTAAATACAAAAATTGATTACAAATTTCCTTCATGGAAATTTAAAGGTATTTTCAATTTTGAAAAGTGGAAGCACCATCACTGACAATACAACCTTTCAAATTTCAATAATTATGTCAATTGGCCAGGGAGCCTCATTCTCATGAATCGTGAGCCAATCACCTTGCATAATTTACTGATGTCAGCGAGGCTCCAGGACCAAAAAGTAGCTCAAAACTATTTTTATTCCCTTCCTCAAACAAGGTCTGTTTTCAGCTGGTCTGCTAACGTAAACTTACAAGTTATCGTCACAAAGGATCCTCCAATATTTACAGGTCTGTGCAGCCTGGACCAAATCTTTAGGGCCCAAAAAACCAAGTACATAAAATGCAAGTTCATTTGGTAGCAATGATATAAAGTCTCTTTGAAACCTCGGTTCGATTGAGGACATCACATGTCGTATGATTGGTGGATTACATCTCTCCATCAGTTCATCTAATGCCCGTTTTTTCTGATCTTGAGCCCATGTGTTAAACACTTGTAACCAATCCTCCATTTCAGGGGGGCATGTGAAACTATTGGTATGTTGCTGTGTTATGGTATTTGCACCATCGCAGCTATCCGATTCATTACCGCCTTCTGGGCAAAGCCGTTTCTCAGGCACAGTGACTTCAGGTTTTTGACTTGATTTACGTTTCAACGGAATGGTATCGTCGCCTCGGCATTCAATATCACTTAGTCTGTTTCTAAGCGAGCGTCTGGAGTTAGAACGTTCATCTCGGGAGCTGCTACTCTTTAGGTCGATATGGATTTTTGATCGAGGTGAACAATAAAAAAGTTCTTTGTTCGTATCAAGAAATCCAATACTGATCCCACGAATGGATCTCAGGTCATCGACAGTACTAAACCCACCTAAGGCTTCACGCATGTCTACAATTTCTATTGCTTTCCCTTTACCAATTCCCGAGATATTGGCCAAGTCATCTGCAGTGGCTCTGTTCAAATCTATCCGTCGTGGCCGGCGACTTCGCCCAGACATGGCAGAATATTATTTCAAGCCAACAAATTCACGTTCTCCCGAATTCCTTGAGAATTAAAACAAAAAGTAAGCATCATTTACTGTAGTCTACAAAACATCGTAATTTTACATCTGAACTATGTACAAAGCTACAAATATTTCAGTCACACGAGTCATTTCACAGCCACGAGCAAACACGTGTCCCATGGACAAGGCGGTCAAAAATTTATGGGCAAAATATTTGCCATTTTTAACAAAATTTTAAAACATTGTACGACTAAAACAAACCTAGATGAATCCATTTTAGAACTGCATTGTAGGTACTCTTTTTTAAGCTCGGCAATTGAAAATATTTTGCGTGACGTGCGATTGAAAAGCGCCCTTTCAAACAGGTAGCAAAATTTCAATGTCGCCCTACGACACGTATACTCAAAATATGCAGTAAACTGCTGCCGGTACTCACTAGCTTAAACATCCCTTCTAAACAAGGAAAACACATAAACCAAGGCTGTAACACAGCCAAAACAACCCCAGGAATTTTCCTACGTAAATATAGCGATAAACAAGCATTTTTGACACCAAACGCATCAAAGACGAAACACAACCCATCACTCAACAAACACCGCCAAGCAAGAACATGATTTCAAATTATTTCCACTGTAAAACTGCCAGATTGTTTTAACTGTTCATATATTGAAAAAGAACACTTCCTTTGTCGAATAAAACATAAATCCTAGCTCTACTACTATGAAGCAAAAGTATTTGAAAAACAAACAGTGTACGGTATTAATTTTGAACGAGGCTATTTCGTTTGACAACAAAGCGTTCACAAGCGGCCTACCTGCTTGGCCTGAAAGATTACAAGCGTAGCCCATGGAGTAGAGTTTCATTTAAACATAAAACATCCCGTCTTTGGTTTGAAATGCTGGTCTAAATCATGAAAAATCAAGAGCAAACCAGATATTTTCCAACCTTCGACCAATCGTCCCACGACATATACAGTATATATGCGTACAAATGACTTTGCTGAAGTGAGTACCCCCCGGATATGACGTCACAAGGTTTAAGGTCAACCGGAACGTGAATAATGCTGACTCGCGTGAATAATGCGCATTTTATTCAGCAATTTAGGATAATAATCATCATCATTATAATCATCAAAATAATAATAACGAGGGTACTAATTCCGCTCGGTTACTTTTTCGATATTGGCACATTGAATACAAAACTATGGCAGAATGACAAGACAATTAAATTCATCATCGGAAGATGTCAGTCCTAGCCTGAAAACAGACCTACGTTTCGCCCGCCCTAAAATTCGCGAGCAAAATGGAAGGTCTGTATTCAGGCCTAATGTCATCCAGGCTCTGGTGAGGGCGGCAAAATATATTTTCAAGTCTCTTATACAACACTAGTATTTCAAACCGTGACGCCGCACTTTTTCTAACAGACTTGATTAAAATCGTTCTGCCCTACAAAACTTAGCCTGCGTAGCCGGTGGTTTTAAGGGTTGGGGTACAAAACCCTGCTAACGTTCTAAAACTGCACTAATTAAATTCAATTCATACGATAGTTTAATGCTGGAGAAGATTCCCATGCAATAATTTATTTGAAGGAGCGACTGGCCGTCCGATCTCACGTCACCGCCCAAATTTATACAAAGCCTTTCACTTTCCCAGGAATACGTACTTTCATTTGTAAGGCGTTTCAAAACCGGGGTTCCGGTTTGTGGCTTTCATTCATTTCAAGAAACACATTAATGCAATATAATGACGTAGGTCGTTAGCTTACAACAAAGCTTCTTTGCGATATGAAATAAACGTTGGGTATATGTAATAGCTCCTCAAACGTGCGGTGCAGTGTAGGTAGCTTGTAAACGTATTCTACACAATAAGCTGTCGTGGTCTGTGTTTCAACTACCTGAAAAAGATATCTCAAACGTGGTGGTCCAGTGTAGGTATTATTCTGCAATAAGCTGTCGTGGTTTGTGTCTGAACTACCAGAAAAAGATATCTCAAACGTGGTGGTCCAGTGTAGGCAGTATTCTACAATAAGCTGCTGTGGTTTGTGTCTGAACTACCTGAAAAAGATATCTCAAACGTGGTGGTCCAGTGTTGGTAGTATTCTACAATAAACTATCGTGGTTTGTGTCTGAACTACCTGAAAAAGAAAAGATATCTCACACGTGGAGGCCCAGTGTAGGTAGTATTCTGCAAAAAGCTGCTGTGTTTTGTGCTAAAACACTTATAATATATGTTCTGAACTTCTGGTCAGCCTAAAAACATAAGCATCGCCAGGTTCTTTATGATAATCAAGTATTTTGCGTCCCTTTCTTTAATCACAAATGAACACATCAGTTATAAGTTAACAAATGTCGCAATAATATAAACCTAGTTTCATTAAAACAACATACAATAAATATGATTCTCCTAAATGTGTTGGTATTTCCTAAATATGCATCATGTACCAAGCATTCTATATCATCGAGCCAGCAGCTTGTTTCTCACGTGACTCTGTCCAGGCCTTGGCTATGGTTCTCTTCATCTCATCATCACCTTCATCGTACATTTTCTTCATCAGGTCCATCAGACTTTCTGATGGATCTTTGTCTTTGTCCAAGTCGCCCATTCTGAAACATTGGAAAGGGCGGGCGGAGGTAAGACCCTGAGTACGAGGTTGACACACATTTACTGAAAGGCATAACGAACTAAACAAAACTATACTATACACGTAAAAACGCACAACTTGTAGCAAACCTGCAGCAGACTTGTGGCAATGCTGTTCCAACAACTTGTCAACAAGATGTGTTCGCACTGCTTGTTCCCAGCTTGTTGACAAGTTGTCAACGGCTTGTTGATAACTTGCTACAAGGTTGCTGAGCTCAACCGAATTGTTACAAGTTGCTCCATCCGCTTGTTACCGTACGGCCGTAAATTCAACAATTTGTCAACAAGTTGTGAGTGACAACCTTGTAGCAACTTGATGAAACAACAGCATTGTTGCAACTTGCTGACAAGCTTGCTACAAGCCTGTTGCGAACACATCTTGTTCACAAGTTGTGAGATTTTTACGTGCGTAGATAGAATCAGTTCTCCTAAACGATTCCTCCAAGAGGTCCAGTAAAAGCCATCACTGATTGTTCCAGTGTCAACTAACTGTTTTAAACTGCTCTCTCTGGTCCAGTAAAAGTCATCACCCTTGTTGGTCCAGTGTTATCACTTATCAGAGAGGAGAATTTAAACTAATCCTAGTTTATTTCTATTGGATAGCTCTATCAGTTGTAAGCTTTTCTTTCTCTTTCTAGAAAGAGTACTCTCTTAAGGCCCATTTCCACTCAAGAAAATTAAATTTCCACGGACAGAAAATTTTCCAAAAATATCATTGTTAAAAGTTGAAAATTTTCAACTTCAAAATGTTTTTCCGACGGAGAATTTACAAAATTTTCTTTCTGCGGAAAATTTTCCCGTGTGGAAATGGACATTAATTGATATAGTGTGCTACTGCTAGGACACAGGTGCCCAGAAAAAACATACTGTGTTTGGTAGAGGCGATATTATAACCGACATACAACAGCATATCTAGAGGAATTTTACCCCAGTCGCAAAGATGGATGACACATGCACTATCGACGAGTTAGTAACCACATCAGTGGGTTATATTTTTCTGACAATTCCTGAACAGTTTCCTGAATAGCTTAATCCAAGTCATGTGACTTTACCAAACCTCGTTCCCAGGATCTTTACCTTGTTTTCTCTTCCCTCGCTTTTTTTTCTTTCACTTCCGTTGCAGAGATTCCTGCCCAGTCCCCATCCCGCGCCTTCTTCAATATCACTGTAATTGTGTTGGGCTTGACCTACAGAGAGACGGTTACACAAGGTTACACTTGCTCCAAGTCTGCCTCTCGAAAGGACGATTTACACTACACAAGTTTTGCCTAAAACCATCGCATGCAACCTGCTTAGGGACTGATCATAAAGTTACTGCTAGGGTGGGCTGGAGGTAACTCACAAAATTTGCCAATAAGTTTGGTGACCCATCTTAGGATGTAGATAAAAATTTCAAAGCCCATCTAATCTTACCAAATTTATTTCATGACCCACCCACCCAATCTAAATTGGGAAAATACACTTTTATAATAAAAAAAAAACTTGCAGGTATGAACATTGTAAATATACACCGGCACTGTATTGACATACATAATTCCACCAAGCTTGACCAACACATTCATCACCAATTACGATCATACTACATGAGCTGTGATTCGACCACTTCTTGTTGTTGTATAAAACAAAGTACTGGCTTCAATAGCATCATTTGCATTTGATAATTTGGATAGTTTTGTTTACTTTTATTATTAATATATTTATATATAATTAACATGATTATTAATTTATTAATATATAATTAACATGGGTTTTTGTTTGGTGGCCCAACCGTGAACATACAAAAAAATTGGCGGCCCATCGAAACTGCCCAAAGATTTTCCATGGCCCATCCCAAATCACTCCAGCCCACCCTAGAAGTTACTTTATGACCGGTCCCTTACAACTTGAGTTGTACTGTGTAAATCAAGCATACAACTCAACTATACGACAACGTAGGCAAGTTGTGTGCTTGATTTACACAGTACAACTCAAGTTGTAAGCAGGTTGCATGTTTTAGGTAAAAACACAACTCAACTACGATAATGTACGCGTCTCAGGAGTCTACTATATCACAGAATACTATACAGAAGTCCATCTCCATTGTTTTTTGCGTAAGCGCTATTCGTCATGATTCGTCACTCAGCAAGTACCGTAAACAGAAGCAGTCCACCCCCTGGAAATATTCAAAATGCCACACGTCCAGGGGGTGACTGCTTCTGTTTACAGCATTGTTTACGGTACTTGCCGAGTGACGAATCATGACAAATAGCGCTTACGCAAAAAACAATGGAGATGGACTTCTGTATAGTATTCTGTGACTATACAGTATATCGAGCATTCTATCTTTCAGAGTTTCAATACACATGTATACATACACAACTGGGAACTGTCTGATAAAGTGAACCTACCTTATATTTGCATTTTTCTGGGACAATTTCTCCTCCCAAGTTTGGTAGATTAAGTTCATACGTTTTTCCATTGAGGTTATTTATAACAATATTAAGACTGCGTCGTCCATAGTCGACTTGAATCAGATCTCGGTGTAAGCTTCCCACGCTCGCAAGGTCCACATATATTGTGACCGTCTGAGGTTTCTGGAGAAAACCTGACGAACGATAAAGATAAAAATGTTAGCGATTTTTATTTACATTGGACAGAGCTGGTTTAATGGTTCGCTGGGTCGTGCACAGGTAAAAATCGTAATACTTTTTATTTACATTAGTGAGAACAGGTGAACTCGCTGGGTCGTTGAAGGTTAACTGCTGTGCAACATACGTAGTGCAGAAGTGTTTTAATTTAATTGGCTTTAAAATTCTTATTAAACAATCTTTCAGTTGAACTTGATATTAATGGAGAAGAGGAATCGATGTTCCCGAGAACATTCTTACCTTTTCTTTCTGTACATTTTAATACAAATGTTTGTAGTTTAAATAAGATGAAAATTTTATTAAAAATATTAAAAATTATAATCTGGGATTAAAAAGGGAATTGTACGTTTGGGCGCTGTTGTTTGGCTGTGCTCAAATGTCAACTGGAAAACCAAAATTTCCAAGCACGTTCCGATTAGCCATTCCGAAGTTGATACCGTGTTAAAAAGTGCCCAAATTAAGAAATGAACCAAATCACTAAAAAGACCACCTCAAAATTAGTAAGTATGCAAAGTTTGAAGACGTCTACATGAATACCCTTCGAATAATAAGCTTTCGAAAATCGCGATATTTACTATGAAATGTACTGTAATTTTTGTTTTTTGGGACGCGCGTCCCAAAAACAATCTTTTAACCAGTAATTTCACAATTTTCGAAAGCTTATTATTCGAAGGATATTCATCTAAACGTCTTCAAACTTTGTATACTTACTAATTTCGAGGTGGTCTTTTTAGTGATTTGGTTCATTTCTTAATTTGGGCACTTTTTAACACTCGTCCCCAGTCCACTCATCAACTTCGGAATGGCTAATTCATTCCCGAATGAATGGAGGGTCTATTGTGAGATCAGTAAGACTAACTGCATTACAGAGTTTGTTCAGGCTTCTCGTGTAGAACAGAGATGGTAGCAGGGACGTCGCTACTGGGGGGTGTGGGGGGTTATAACACACCCCCCCCCCCCAATAATTCAAACGTTGGTCAAAGTTGGCATGGTCAAAATGGAACTGGTATTTATTTGCTCAAAGTTGGTCAAAATGGAACTGATATTAGCTTAATTTAAAATTTAATGTCAATGTCGGAAAAATGTGGTGAAAAATTGGCAAGCCTTGCTTATTTTGGTCGAAATTTTTTTAAATATGGTCATGTTGGTCCGGAAAATTTTTTAAGTCCGGAAAATTTTGGTAGTCCAGTGGTATATCGACCTCATTGGATAATATGCGCGCCTCCCCTAGTCGGGTGTTCCGTCTCGCGGGTAGATGCTTGTCATGCAGGCTACGAGATCGGTAATCAAATAATCGCCCCACAGCCGCGTGACGCGTTCCATTACGAGGCAGGTTCACTGGCTCGGTGCCACCTTTAAACTCTATCCCGTGTTGAAAGAAATGAGCACTTTGGAACTTATAAATAGCAACAAGGTCAAGTTTAATCGCTTTAATCGATTATTGTTCTGAACAAAACCACGGGTAATACAATAAGACCGTGACAAAACAAAGGGGCTATTCAACACCAGAAAAAAAACCAGATCACAACCTTTGAGCAGAGCGAACGGAAAAACGGATTTGAAAAAGCGACAGACAATAAGACATTAAAACCCCGGATGAGAGTTGACTGTCACGCATATCAAGCTCTAGATTAACAAAGTAAACGTTTGCGCAAATGGTATGACAAATTGACAATACATGATAGTGTTGGGAAAGCATTAGGAACAGCTAAGGTTGCGTGACTACCAACTCTCATGCAACCTCGTTTGATCTATGGTTTGATCCAGGTTTAATTCAACCGTTCCTGTAACGCTACTGTCTTCAAACCATCAATAGGGGTGATCCATTCAGTAGTACACAACTGAGGGGGGGGGGGGGAGAAATTTTCCATTTTCGCGTATCGTTTCTGTTCTTTGCGTACAAGGGGGAGGGAGGGGGTTCAATTTTTGCCTACATACTAAATGAATGCCCCCCACACAAGAATTCATGCACACAGGGTGGCTAGACTATTTTCGTTCATTTTATGATCATCCTTCGACACCAGTTCACGGATTCTATTTTTACCTCGGAACACATATGCAAATTCTATTTTGGTGTATGACACGAGAAAATTTGATTAATTTGCGCATTTCAATCGACACAACACGATGAAATAAGCATAAGCACAAGCAGCGGAACCTTTGATGTAAGCATAAGAAGAACGCAACATTTGTTCTTCTGTTTATGCTTATGCTTACATCAAAGGTTCCGCTGCTTCTGCTTATCAATGAAGGGCACTTACCAACGAGCGGCACAAATTTGGTACTAGCGAGTTTTAATAGGGCTACGTGATACTTGTACCGGATAGCTCTTCGTAACGACATGAAAACACACCAGGATATTACAACGGAGAGATGTTGTTTCGCTCAGCTTCTGAAAGTTGTACATTCCGTATGGGATAGGTGATTTTTAGCGCGGCTACAGAATGCTATCCGGTATAATAGAGAGTTTACGATCTACGACGCGACCGGCTCAACGACGCGGTCTAAATTTCAGCTCAAGAATGAGCGCTAAGCAATTTGATTACTGTATCTAAATATTTGAAGCTTTTTCAAATAACCTTACAAACTGTTACGTTCGGCTAAAGCGATGCAATTTTTGCTGTAATTTCGACTTCAAGTAACACCTCTTGGGTCGCATTAAGCTTTCACGTTGCTTGAAAGACGTGATAATGCTTGTTTAACGTTGTGTTGAGAATACCCCTGGGACCACGAATTATTCACAGTTTTTGTCTCGCATGACAAATTTCTTTGTTTTGAAAGCGCGTCGTCGAGCCGGCGCGTCGTAAACGGTAAACTCCCTAATCTAAGTGCTAAATACGGCGCAGTAGATTGGTGCTGGTCAACTTTTGAAATGTTGAACACAGAAACACGAAAATTGAAATATAAAATAATACTGCTTAGTGAAACCCACCTTCCAAAGGTTTTATTGTCCGTTTTACAAAGCTAGTCGCAAACTAGAGAAGCTCTAAGTGTTTGAAAGTCAGAAAGCATAGAATGAACTTGTGGCCCTAATTTGCATATTGTGCGCTATATTCACGCACATAATGCGAATTACGCCATCCAGGAATAGCGCAAATTGAAAGCAAAGTTCTACACTGCTCAAAGCTCGTGATCTGTTACCGGTGGCAATGTGCAATTCATTGTTTTTCATTCACACGATAAACGAAATACAACAGTTTGATTAAAAATTTTATTTCAAAGTGATTAACAATATAAAAAGCTTTATTACTATAATTTGATAAAAAATATCATTACAAATGATTCTTAAAAATGTAATTGTTCTCGAATTTATAAAAAACCTACTTTCTAAATTAAAGTTCCCCTAATCAATTCCCCGCAATAAAAATTTAAATTACAAAATTCCTACGTTATAAAAATAGCTATCAAATCAAGTTAAAATCACTACCTTACAATTTAATAAAACTCATTGAGCTTTTCGATCAAGGTTATATAATTTGCAAGCAACGTTAAAAGTTTAAGTGTGGTGACTGTTATACTTCACTTTTTAAAATATTATCAATAATCAGTACAATATCGGACAATGAAAATGAAGCGAAATGCTGGGCTGTGCTCTGGAATGTCTTTAAGGAATTTAGACAGGATAATTTGGTCGAAGAAACTTCCATACCACTACATTGATTGCCAACAATTTCCCCAGCCAAACATCTGTGGTTTATTCTGGAGGACATTTTTGGCATGTGCTAGCAAAATGTGGGCATGAAATACTCCGCTTCTTAACACATCCGAGACAGTGCGAAATTATAACAGTCAACACGGATAATCAACAATTGAACATTGGCTTGCGTTTAATCCCCATACAGGATATGACTAACGGACCTTCTAGGATTATATATTAAAGGTCATTGTACTGCAATACATGTTAAAAAAGATTTTGGTGAGCTTTGGTGGGAACAAATTTTCACGTTTGGACTACGGTTTCTATTGCAAAACTTTACGCATGCGCAGTAACGCTTTCAGAGAACATTTAAAAATCTAAACTTGCTCAAACTCGAAATGTTTGTTCCCATGAAGCTTTTGTGTAAAATGGCTATATGTTGCCCTACTTTCTAAACACATTGACATGGCTATAATTTTATATCAATGTTAAAACTACAATATGAAATTTAATAAATTTTTAAAAGTCAAATCGTTATATTCTCACTAGGTACTCACTCCGAACTACAATCCTATACTTTTCTTAATATTTGGGAATATTAGTATAAAATTCGATGTTTCGTTGGCTATATGTTGTTGAATGATAATAAAATTATTTTGGCCACTCGCACAAAGTGTAATTAAAGTTAGTACATATTATTTGACAAAATGTTATTATTATTAATAAATGTTATCAATTGTTATAGTTCAAAAGAAAAGAACTCCAAGAAATGACGAATTATTGCAGCATTTTTATATGTTAAATTCGCTTTCATTTCTCCAAACGACATTAAAATCCTATTAATTCACACATAAAATGTAAATGCATTGTTACACTTGTTTCACACCCTCATTCTATGCTTACATTATCATAACAGTAGTAACTTTTAAACAGAATTTTGAATAGGCTGCAATAGGTTTCGACATTTCTTAACTGTTATTATTACAAATATTTTTTTGTTAAAATGTTATTATGGGTTAAACTTACCGACTCCAAAATAACGGAGCCAAGTATTTGTTACCCAATATGGGTTGTCCTTCATAGTAATAATATAGTTGATGCATTAAAACAGCATCAACAATGTATTAAATGTTAAATCGTTGTTAATATCATGCGGTTAGATCTTACATTAGGACTTGATGGTAAATTGAATATATAAATTTTACTACTAAAGGCAATGTCGGCCAGTCAGTCACAAGACACTTTTTGGCAAAGTTATAAAATGTTGAAATTTCAGAGCGTAATGAAATGATGTTGAAAGATTGATTCTTTTATATATCAATTACAATAGCAAGCAAACCATTTTCATTTCATTGTGGAAAACCATTTGCCAAAAAGTGCCTTGCTTTTGGCAAGGGATCATAAAATGCACAAGGGCTAAATTATTGCTACGTTGTACATACTAGTACATTCCAGCAAACAAAATACCCTCTTGTATCCATGTGTACAATATCCAGTCTTGTATGTATAAAAGTACACTTTCATCACACGAAAGCTCGGTTGAAATATAGTCCATTTAAATGGTTGCACTTGTGCTTTTTTTTACCCTTGCCTGGACAATTAGCCTTGTTACATGAAACTACCTTCTAAAACTACACTAAATACAAAGCTACCATCAACAAATTTTCTAAACTAAACTAAACTAAACTAAGCTACTTAATTAATCTATGCAAATACTAGAATTTATAATAAAAAATTGAAGTTAGTTATTAAGTTAGTTAAATTTAAGGGTAAGTGTTAAAATAATTACTTCTAAACTACCTATATATATATATATAAAACTGGCTAAACTACGTTGTTATCCATAAAATGTTAGGAGTTAATTTAATACTAGTTTTACACGCTCAAGCATGCGAAAATATCGGTAATTATACCTTCTAATTATATTAGAACAAATTCTGAATAAATTAGAGTGTAGCCTCAACATCATAAAATTTGATTAAGTTGTATATTTTGTTTTGAAAATGTCCAGAAATAATTCATAATTGTTGCAGTATCTCGGTATAGAAATGTTTTTCTTTTCGTAATACTAATCTCACAACTGATTAATAAGAGATGCTCTCACGTGTAAAACTACTCGGGTATACAGTATTAGTACAATTTACTCAGAAATTACGTTTATTCAAAAACAAATATTAATATGTTAGTCTGTTAGAAATCTTCTTTACTTTCAAATAATGTTCATTTAATGAACGATTGGTACCAAAAAACGATCATATGGTATTCCCCATACAATCCTAAACACTCATCGGACTCAACTTACCCAAATTATTCTCCTTAATGACGGAGGCCCGGGGTGCCGGGAGATAGAACCCAGGAAATCCAGCCCCACTCAAGCCGTAACCATACATACTATACTCCTTCATGAGAGCCTTCGAGAAAAGATCCTTATAGAGATAGTAGTCCCGTCGCGGGTACATACTCGGGTGGTTAAGGAACATAAGTCCCATTGGGTTTGTGAGGTTCGGGGAATCCAGGTAAAATTTCGGCTCGTAGTCAGAGGTTGGACTTGGGACTTGTTCATTTTCAAAATGGCTCTCTTCGACTCCCTTGAAGTCTTCAGGGAGTTCCTGTTTCGTCGGTTTTTCTTCTTTAGGTAGAGAGGTGTGGTTCACACACATGTACTGGTCGCGGAAACATTGCCCAGAGAACAGTTTCTCGTGTAGTTTCGTATTTCTGCTGTGACGGTTGCGACTCTTTGCGCACGTGAATGACAGACTGCACCTGTGATAGAGATTGATCATCCAGTTACAAAACCTGTTTTAAAAGCCATCTAAATCTGTTTTGAGAGCTATCTAAACCTCTATTAAGAGCCGTCTAAACCTGTTTTGAGAGCTATCTAAACTTGTTTTAGGACCTGTTAAAACTGTTTTAACCTGTCATTGATTAGAGAGCTAGTTTAACCAGTCTAAACTTGTTTCGAGACATTTCCATGTTGTTAGACCTGAATAAACACCGATTCAAGACTGGTTATAAGCTGTTCTTTGACTGGGAAACCTGTTTTGAGATTGGTTGGTTTAAACTGTCTTGGCAACTATTTAAACTTTTTGAGGCCCATTTGACAACTGCCCAACTTGTCTAAACTTCCTTGAAACGAAACAAAGGTATGGTAATTTACCCTTTAACGTGGCATTTAAATTTTTTCAGTTTCAAATGGACGGCATTGTAGTGGGTTCGCATTGAGCTCTTGTCTCCAAAACTCTTGCCACAGTTCGCCCAATCACATACATACGGTCTCTCCTTCGTGTGCTTATTCATGTGAACCTTCATCTCACATTGCCAGCGACAAACGTAGGAACAGCCAGTAGCTTGGCAAGGAAAACGACCTTCCTTATTGTTGCTACCGTTGTTGTTGTTTGTGGAGTTTCTTAGTGTGCAGTCTGTAAGGAACAGATGTGTGTAAAAAACCGGAAAAATTTAGACTATACATATTTGAAAAGGGGTCACAGATTATAAACTGTTTCAACTGTTTATTTATTTCTTCAGAAATCTTGTCTGGATCAGTAGGAGTTTTCTTCTCTAAAGTTTTTCTAATAAACAGACGTGCAAAAATACATAAGGCCAAAAAAAAAATATGTGGGTTTCCGGTTTCTTCTTATAAAAACTTAATAGGTAGGGTAGGTCGGTTTTAACTTTCTTTTTTAAACTTTTTTTTTAATTTTCCGAACAAGCGAACGACATTTTTAGTCAGTGCTTCCACTTCCGAAAATAAATTTCCCTAATATTGCCTCAAATTTCAATTTTCCACAAACATTTTCCTCTAAGTGGAAACACTTACAAGCATGATCCAATAAAAAAGTTTAGGGTCGGGATTACGACGTCCAAAAGCTAGGTAGGGTCGGGAAACCGGAAACCCACATTTTTTTTTGGCCTAAACTAAAACAGCAGGTTAAATTTTAACCGAAGGTTAGAGCTAATCCAGCTTTGAACAACAGGCCCCAAATGATCACCTTTCAGGAGATTTAAAATATTTTCTAAACTATACCATACATACAGTTTAGAAAGAGACCATCGGACTGCTATTTTCTACTATTCAGTAAGATAGGTTTCTGTTGCTTTAGATACCCAGGCATATTTTTCAAGCTTGTCCGGTGTGGATATACACTCAGAGTGACATCACAAACATCATAAGTATATCAAGTTAGGTAAAACAAGTTGAACTCAGAACGTGTCCCATTTCAAAGTCAGTTCAAGCAATAAACGAGTTCCAAGAGTATCCGTTCCGTGACATAAAGTAATTTTCATCAAACATCACACAACACACTTACTAGTTTTTACGGCACAGTACCTTTTGTGTAAGATTCAAAAAACATCGTGATATCAAAACAATTTCTAACAAAAGTTTAAAATGGCTTGAATATTGACTTGGATATCGAATAATGTGTGAAACACACGAAAAAGAAAATGTGCAATATATGTGCTGTTGCATGCTTAATGACTTTCAAACAATCTTAGAGCTTCTGTATAATTGTGCGAAGGAGGCAAAAAACATTATTTAACATAACAATAGCCCCATCGAAGGTCTATGCCCTTGTTTTTATGGACAATTAGAAAAAGCTAAACTTATTGACATTTCTATCCGCCCCCTGTCTATCCGCTCCTCCGCTATCCGCTTCTATGTCTACCCGCATCCGCGTTTTATTCTACCGCTCTGACCTCGTGACCGCGGCGCGCATTCAAACAGCATAATCTCAAAAGATAAAGAAACTATTATCATTTCGCGCACATCTGCAAACCTGATTAGGACAAGATAACAAAATAAAATCAACAGTATAAGTAACAAACGCACATCGCAGAATGTTCTATGCAATCACAAACGCACATCGCAGAATGTTCTATGCAAACTAAGATTTGACTTATTCTGGATAGCTCTATCTTCTCAACTAGACTGTTCGGCTCAGAGATCCAGTAGCAGCCCATCCCACATTCAAAAAGAGGAAACCAGAGTACTCTCTGGAAGCCAGGGGAAGCACTCTCTGATCTATGATCTCCTAGAAACATGCTCTTTCTAGCTGTGGTGATGGATTTTTTCTTCTTGTCTAGATCAAAATTTCGTCTATATCGTTTTACTTTGTCTATTCAAAATTTCATCGTTGAGAATAAGAGATAGTCAAAACACTCGTGTAAGATTCGATGCTTTGAAATGATTTTGAAAACGAGACCGTTTCCTAATGACGATTCCATCTAACTTAATATAGGTCTGTTCCCTTTCTGGTTTATTACTAGCGGGACTCAGATTCCGTGTTTTCCATAAAGCCCTCAGTCAGAGTTGGAAAATGTTCAGGAGAGCTAGCAGCATCAATCTAAATCAAAATATCTGTGCAGGAAATGTTCTTACACCATGCAGGAATTTTTTTGTCATCTTACTGGAATGGCATATAATTTACTTATTGTTTAAAAACTTCGAGATTGTCTTGTGCCAAGATTCAAGTTTTATCACAATGTGTCGCACCAATACGTTCTCAGAAATTCACACATATGGGGGAAGTTTTATTTTCGACTTACACAGGAAACTTTTATTTTTGGATTTTGTTGAGAGGAAGAGAAACATATGTCCTAGGCCTGTCCTCAGCATTGTTTGAACTCAGGGGTTGGCGACCACAGGAGACATACGTGTGACCTTGCAGTGACCCAAAGGCATGCATGCACTATTGTGTTGCTGATGATACAAGTGTTGAGTGAGGCTTCCTGAGCAATCAACAAGGCTTGACACAACAACAGGAAACTGTAAGAGGTAATTAGATCAAAGCTGATCAACTGTTTGGCAGTAAGCCACGGATTTCTAGGCGAGGTGCTAGGTCCACATGGATTGAGTTACGGCTGCATGTGATTTTAGTCATCCCATAGGAAATTTCTGTGCTTCCTTGTACGTATTCGTACGTACGAATATAATTCGTTATTCGTCTGACACTCAGGCTACCTTGTACGTGACCTCAACCAAAATATACCCAAGTCTTGATATTGTGTTCATGAAAACGTCCCATATTTAATAGACAATACACAGACAGATATTGTCTTATTGTCTTTATTCAAATGGTTTATTGGAGTCTTGTGGTCTGAAGGAGGTTGTGAAATCGAAACATCACCTATCAAAATTTTTTACTGATCTCAGTCCATATCATGGATTTTCGAGAGGGATTTGTTTGATGATTACGTTTTCAAATTGACTGGAAATGGATTTTTGTTCACTTGTAGACAACTAGCATCCTATGAGAACAGGCCTGGTATTACTGCACAAATTAAATTAGATAAAGTATTATAACAGTCAAGCTGTGTGACCTAAGTGAAATCTAGGATGAAATAAGATATATATTTAGAGATTATGATAATACAATGCTATATATTTCATCACAAATCTCTGACAGGCACAAATAAGATTAGTGATGCTTTAACAGTCAAACTGTGATTAGAAAATTTCCCAAATAAAATAGGACATATTTTTGATAATCAGTATCATGTTGTGTCATTGAAAAATGAGATTTGATGCCATCTCAAAGATATCTGATATCCAAGTGGATTAGACATTAAAACTGAAGACAAAATATCAACAGGATTTTATTGTTCTTAAGTTTTATTAAGATAAGCCATATCTCAAGAGGAAATATGAAACATGTGTTTCTTTACACTTCAATATACAATATTTGTACTTTGACACCATACTGTACAATAGTCAACATTTTGAGAGAATTTTTAAAAAATCATTTCAAAACTTTTGTTGTATAGCACTGTAGCAATACGGGATTACCCGGGCTAGACCTCTAGGAAGAACAGTTTTGAACTGATAGAGCTATCCAGTATAAAGTTAGTCTATTTGAACAACTATACTATTCCATTCATATTATATCAAATGTGAAAGGGTGTGACAGCTCACATGACAAAGTGCCTTTGCCAAAAAATATCTCACTTTCAAGACAAAGGAAGTTCCGTAAACAAGATAAGTGTTGTGGTTTTGTACAGAGATCACTTCTATTTGTTCATGGGGAGAAGTTCAACTTCCTAAACTATCTAAAGAATTTCTGATAAAATCTTTCAAAAACATGTCAAAACTATTACAGGAATGTTGCTTTAAAATATCTCCTGAAAAAAAGGTTTCAAGTTCGAGAGGCCAGACAGACACAACCATATGGCACTTGAAAAATTAATCAAAAGGTTTTGGGACATCATATCATCCATTCAACAGTATTTCAAGAGCCTGTTTGCTCTTCAGATAGATTTTGTTTGAGGTAGCTCAGTTCAAAACCATATTTCAGACTACTACTTACACCCTAACCTGGCCACATTTGACGTATATTTTCAAGTAGTTCAGACACACATACATCATGGCAGAGACTGTTTGATGGTAACAACACGCCGTTATGAAACTGCTAAAGTTGCAAGTTATAATCTTTGTCTAACATGCCAAAAAGGATACTTGCCAAAAGATAGTATCAAAGTAATCATTCACAGATTTCAAGCAAAAATGTCAAGCAGTTGGTAAAGATATTTAATAAAAAAAATGCCATACAAAACCCATGGCTCATACTTGGGATTTTTATAAAACACCTGAATGACTTGACAAAATATGACACTTTCAAACCGACAGTTCCATATAATCTTCATCAAAGATGTCCAGGATTTTTTCTTTTGCTAATATATTAACTGTGTTTGTTCTTCTTTCCAATTTATATTATCAGCGTGAACTTACAAAGTTGTCGAAACAAAACTAAACTTTGAAACTAATTATGTTACATGGTTCAATTTAAATATATTATTCAAGGTGTACTCTTCTTTCCAATTTATCAGCATAAACATACAAAGTTGTCGAAACAAAATTAAACTTTGAAACTAATTATGTTACATGGTTCAATTTAAATATATTATTCAAGGTGGTACCAGGGTCGACTGGCATAAGAAATTTGCATAAAACAGGACTTATATTTATAATGATTGCTTCATGAATAAATTGACAATCCAACTTAATGTATTGATGAAGTTTTTAGGATTAGCATTTTTATTGCATAAATTTACCTGTGGATATGATAAAACATGCTTTATGTCAAGTATTATACGCTTACCTAATTACATACTCAGCCCAGACTATTTTATCTTTACAACAATTGTGATATTACTTTCTTAACTGTGTTTGTCCTAATCCACCCTGTCAACTTTCCTGTGGGCAGAAAACGAAGCACCCCGAGAAAACCCACAACCTTTGGCAGAATGTTTTTGAGTCCATAGCGAGAATCAAACCCATAAACTCAGGGGTGAAACCGTGAAATACTCTTCCTCAGACAACTATGCCAAAGTGAAAAAGACAAAAAACCGCCATATTGAATCTTTGTATGCTTGAGATTGGTTTTATTGATCATTTAAATACCATCATACAATATGGTTGCTGTATAAATCTGTAACTCATTACCCGAATTGGCAATGGAGTTACTATATGCACTACATCTAGGATTAATTAACACTAACAAGATATATAATATGAGCCATAAAAAAACAGGCCAAGGCTTGTTCTATATTTAAAGGCCATAAGAAATATAACAGGAAATTGCAAAAGGCACAAAGCCAACCAATTTTCTCTAGTAAGTCCTAAGGACTCATTTCTTTTATACGATGAAAGGTACACTGTTCAAAATGACGCTAGTTACACCCCAGGGGCAAACAATACGAAATCTAAACTGTCTCCAATTTCATAAGCAAAAATGCTCAAAAACAACCCCCAAAAAGTTCCCTCTTTTCTTATGGCCAAAAACATGCACTAAAGATTTGTTAGTATTCAATAATACGCAAAAATTAATGCGCAAGATTCATGATAATTTGCGCACTACAAATCACGCACTCTAAGCTGAACTATATTTGGAATTTTGCGTCTTTATTGGGTTATTTCATGTTAATATACTTGTACATTTTGAATAAAAGGTTTAAGAATACTCTGATTTATAACCAAAGACTTGAAATTCGTCAATTCACAAAGCGCGCAAACAGAATTTTTTTGGAATATTTTCAACACGGAATTGTTCGAAACGTTGTCATATAGACAAAATAGAACGCCCAAATAATCGCCTATCAAAACTATCATAGACGCACAGCTTTAGCTAAAAAAGAACAAAGATTCATTGTTCTGTACTAGGAACAAACAAGCACGCCAAATATTGTACTTTAGGACAAATTATAAATAATGCCAAGGTCACCTTGTGAATTTTGAACAAACACTCGAGGCGGTCATGGTTGAATAACCTTTCCGTTCTAGCACGTATCAGCCATTTCGGCTTTCCGTATTCAAATACAGTAAAACTATTGAACTAACTTAAAACCTTCCGTTCTAAATTATTCCTACATTAAAATATTCAAGCAAGCATGCTTTATAGCCGTATTTTTAAAAACACACGTAAAGGACAGGTTTTGTGATTCAAATTTTATATGGCGACTTTCGTTTTAGGAATTTCAATACTTACCGTATGATGTGATTTTACTTCGCTGAACGCGACCTTCTCTCGTTGTTTTTTGCCGACTTTCAAAGCTATCAGAAATGCTAGGGTTCTCCTTGTCTTCGTGGTCCATACTAGCTACTTCATCTTGTAATCTTTGGCGTTCAATTTCGTGAATCTTTGCGTCGACCGAGCTGAGTTCGTTTTGAAGAACGACTCTTACACGTGGTCGTTTAGCCTGCTCTAAAAGATCCTTTAATTCAGTTCTATCGCTTCGTAACTAAAGGAGAAAGAAAAGCAACATTAAAACTCTCTCCTAACACAGATTGTGTTTTAGAAGAGCAAATAAACAGTTGCAATACCTCAGTTAGTTCAGCCATGTTTGTCTATCTTGCGGCCAACTTCGCTGGTTCGGTCTTTCCAACGTAACTGCCAGATTCCCAGCCCGCCTTGCTTATTTTACCCGATGGGCCGGGCAATATCATCTCATATTACCCGCTTAATGACAAGTCCGGAAACGTATCAAAATCTGCTACTCTATCTTATTATAACTTAATTAATTAAATACTTCCAAAACCCACGCATTACGATTCTGGCTTTGTGAAATTGTTTTACAACACAACATAAAGTATGGAAAATTGATTATTTCAATGGTACTAGAGTAAATACAGTATATTTTTTCCAGTGGTTTTTACTTTGCCGAGTTTCGATTGATTATATTGATCATATTGATTATATGATGTGACAATATCGATAATTAAACTCTGATTGTTCAATTAAATATTATGATAGTTCAATATTTTTCAGCTTTAATTTTGAGGGGGTCTTTGAGGTTGCTTGGCCCTTGCTTGTTTAAAAAACTTTACAAATTATTGACGTAAATTTGGAAGGTGATAAGGAAGGAAGTTCGGCAGCATTGACAAGAAATGATACAGAAATATGTCGCCTAAATCACTTGACGGAAGTCGATGGGGAATAAAAACCACAAAAGTAGCTTTTGTTTGGTTCATAAATATTTATAAGTGTTTTTAAGGGTAGCACTTCATTTTTTGAGAAAGGATTTTGTAAAATAATGTATATTAATATCTAGATGGCTAGTTTAACCTTTTGTTACAACATATTCGAATCTAAACTATATTGGAAGATCAGGAACACTGAGGCTGAGGTCTGGTAACTTGTTTGCGCAAAACATTCTAATTACGCCCCCCAACTAATTAACATACGACGCAGTGACGCACTTGCGCTTCTTGCGCTCAAGACTTGCGCTGTGATATACAACAGGAGGCGCGGGGGCGAGTTATAGACGGACGACCCAATGATAGACCCCACCTTCTCTAACTATGCTGTTCCCCGCGTTCCCAGATGTTTGTTTGTTTGTTGAATACACATGTACATAGTTGGACGGGATTTACATATGGGCAATTTTTGCTACAACAGTTGCAGCGGAATTGGAATGTCATGCAAAACATCTTCACTGTAAAATTGAGAAGACGAATGAACAACTTTATTTAAAGAGGGTAAAAACACATGACAGCAATATAATTGAAAAACCTGTGGCCCTCATATACAATACATACAAAGTTATTAATTCTACTTTAAAACGTCTAAAAGCTATTTAGAGTAAATATGTAAAAGATCTTAGGATTATAAATTTATATATACAAATTATATACAGTACAACTTGCTGATCACAATAATAATTCAAAGCGATCAATGCCCTTATAAGATTCTAAGAAGTATTTTTTAAGGGCAAACTTAAAGGAATTAACGCTAGGTTTCGTCTTAATATCCTTCGGGAGATTGTTCCATATTTTAATGCTGCTGACCGTTACAGATTTTCCTCCCTCAGTTGCATAATTATATTTAGGACACACTAGATTATATTCGCCATGACGAGTTTGTCTACCATTAATTTCATTGTTTGTTTTAAATAAGTTCTTAATATACTGCGGAGCTTGATCATGCAGGCTCTTGAAATAAAAATGAATGAAATAAACGCTGCAAAAAAACCCTCACAATGAGGTATACGAAAATCTGTGACGAAAATCTTCAATCTCGTATGCCCGTTCGCGGGTTAGGTCTGGTATAATATTTCCGATCGCCGATCACGTGATGTACTTGTGGTGTATGATTTTTAAGAACAATATAAACAAGAGATCGATGCAAAATGAAAGGAAAATGATTCGCAATTTTTTCCAAGAATTTCAGTGAATAGAATCTTTTGGGGCACTGCATTTGTTTTATACCACGTTTTGAGAGGTAATAGAAACATAGTTTTCGTTGAAATAATAATTTATGCCCTATTAAAAGTACGTTGAATATGTAATCATTAATTTGCCAAATTATGCAATATAAATATTAAGAATGTTTTTGTAAAAATGATGTAGTAGTTGACATTTTCCAACATATTCAGTCATTATTGTGATATAGATCAGGTTTATGTAGTAATATATCAGTTTTCATTCATTAAAAAGTCGAAAAGACTAAAATAAACACAGTTTTTATATGCTTATGTTTCCAATATATGGCCTTCGATTCTCTAATTTCTCTTTATGGAATTTACATTTGTATTTATTGTACATATGTAATTTACAAAGTGAATTCTACTCATTGGATCTCTAGAAAGAACAGCTTAGAACCGATAGAACTATTCAGTATAAATAAAGTTAGTCTAGTGTAGGTTTCTGCCTGAAATAACACTGAACCAAATAAAATGGCCCTTACTGGACCTCTAGGAAGGACAGTTTAGAATTGATAGAGCTACTTAGAATTAGATAGAAAAACTTTATCTTGTGAACACATGCAGGACCAATTTTGTAATTTTTCCAAAACTAGAAAAACATGGGGGGGGGGGGCATAACCTCATAATGTTTTCATCTATGACATAACATATACCACATCTGTGGCTTTTGGATTATCTTGAAACATGTTTAAATTCCATGAACTAGCGTTTTGCAGACCTTAAAAAGAGACAAATTTGACGGTCCGCCAGTCCCCTTAGTTGTTCAGTGTATTTGACCTCCACCCCCTCCCGCCCCCTGACACGAGGGGATGGCTACGACTGTTTGCATTGCCACAGTTATTGTCTTTAAATAACGATGTGGTGAAGTTGTTTAACTGACTATGATTCAATATCTAGGTCTTTGGCAGAAATGGCTCAGACAACAGTCACAGCATCCTCGTCCAAAGATGAATGTGACCAGGACCATGATTTTAAAACTCAACTGTTGATTATGGCCGGAGTATCAGTTGTCATTGGACTGGCAATGTGCTTAGCAGGCAAGCTAGATAGATGATATAATCCACCAGACAGTCAACATAGAACATTTACAGATTTTCTGGGGGTGTGCACCCTCAAAAATATCCCCCCCTCGGAAAGTTTTCCACTCCACCTTCCAAAACTTGCACCTGCCCCCAAAAAATTTAAATGCTCGGATTAAATGACAGTAGTATTATTGACATAAGGATTTTGAACTAAAATTTCCTGGGGCTTTGAATGCCCCCTTACCCCCAACTATATCGACTGTGCCTCCAGGCTACACTACTACATATATTGAGAATTAAAATTATTTTCTCACCCAGATAATTGGTGGTCGAATATTTCTCAATAAAGAAAATTCTTCAACAAAGAGCAGAGTAAAAAATTATTGACATTTCATGTGTTTGTTTGTTTAGGCTACAAGTTATTCAAGTTCATCCTGTTTCTAACTGGATTCTTTGTTGGGTTTTTTTCATGTTATGTTATATCTTCTCTCTACTTGAGTGACAAAATCCATGGCGAGGCTGCAGAGCATAAGGACCAGGTATTACATCGCCATTTTATCTTACTGCTTAATTAACACATTATGCTGCAATCCTCCCTTACTCTGTCTAACACCAGACAACCTATTCATCAAGTGGAGAGTCGTGTACATGACTGGGTTAATGAACGAGAAATTTCTCAATTAAATTGGTCTGATGTAAGCCTATAGTAAAATAATGAAGAGTAAAAAAGAAAGGCATTAGGGCACATTGCAACATAATGTGTCCATCTGGCATAAAATTAATTTAATTAATAATTACATGACATAATTTTTAGATCTATCTTGCAATGTCATTTGGTGTGGGCATCATTGGAGGACTTTTGACATTATGTTTGTATTATGTTGGCATGTTTGTCTTGGGTAAGCTGTGGATATATGTACTATATTAACCATGCATGTCCCTTTTACCTCTGGGGTTTGATTCTTACAAGTCTCATGTGAGAAGAGTGGTCCCGTTTTCGCTCTACTGAACACCACATTTTTTGAGTGCTTTAGTGGTTTCCTCCTGTAGTAACACTGGACCAATAGGGAATGGTCTTACTAGACCTCTAGGAGGAATGGTTTAAAACTGATAGAGCTATCCAGTATAAATAAGGTTAGTTTAGTTACATTTCCTCCTGTAGTACATAGCACTACCCCTAAGGCTCCAGGGAGAACAGTTCAGGGCTGACAGAGCTATCCAGTATAAAACAAGTTAGGTTAAAGACTATCCTCTGTTATGTCCAGGTGCAACAATGGGTTGGTTTGCTGGAATGGCGCTCCTACCTTTCTTCAAATCTGAAGCACATTTTCTCGTCGACCACATGTGGTTACCTTACTGTGTTTGTGCTGGCTGTGCTATATTAGGTGGACTGTTGATGTTATGTCTGCAAAGGGTTAGTATATATATTTTCTCACTCTGTTAACTGCAGGTTCACCACCCCCTATGCAAAGTAAACCACTGCTGCTGAGAGTACATTTTTACATTTTAGATAATAATTATTTTATCAACTGCATTTCTGGGAGCTCTGTTATTCATCAATGGTCTTGATTACTACGTCGAAAAGGGAAGAATTGTCACTTTTACTGTGAACATTTTACAAGGTAATTCTTCCCTCACACAAGGTATTGATATATGCGAACAAATAGAGTTTGGCTGATTTCAACTGCAAACAGATAATTCGTCCACGGACATAAAAACGCACAAGTTGTAACAAACCTGCAGCAGACAGGATGTGTTTAATGTAAAACCATTTGGCATTAGACAGATCAAAATACTAAAGTAGGGCTTAAAGGGTTACAGCAAAGTAAAATGTGTTGCATGTTCTATTTTCTATAGGTAACCATTTCTACCTACCAAACTGTTGGTACACATGGTTGGTGTTAAGTCTGCTGCCAATACTGTTTATCATCGGAGTTATCGTACAACAAGTCAAGACCAGTAAGGGTGCAGATCACAGACATGGTAAGAAGTCACAGCATTCTTATTATAAAAGATTTTAGGCATCTTACTCAACATAAATAATTGCTGAAGGATTTTGAAGACATAAAATTTTGAGTGGAATTTTGTACATTTTATATTAGACCTAACTATAGGCCGGAGCAGTCAGTGCAAAAAATGCCACTATCGGCTCTCTGGCAGGTATCAAACCTGTGGCCCTGCGATTCCAGTGCAGTGCTCTAACAGATTCCACTCGAAAATTGCATCTACAAATCCCTTTGAGCTGCCTGGCTTGAAAAGATTTCCATCTATCTCATATTTGTAACTTACAGTATGTTTTTCGTTCATTTTCTTTTTGAAGCGTCAGGTCGTGTGCTGGTTGTGGATGAGAATCAAATGATTGAAATGCAACATGACGAGGTTTGATTATTACTACAGAATATTATATATCTACTTACAATATGCTCAATACAATAGTCTATTGCTATACAGAATATAGAAATATATAACAATCTTTTGCCAACAAAAAATTGGTTTATACTACAGTATCAAAGCTTCTGTGATCACAGTAGGAATTCTGCATAGGTAAATTCTAAGTTTTGAAGGATTTGTAGGAAATGTTTGAGGAAACAAACTTAGTGTTAAACTATGAGTCAGTTTCCTCAAACATTTCTTACAAATCCTCCAAAACTTGGAATTTACCCATGCAAAATTCCTACTGTGATCACAGAAACTTTGGTATATAATATATGTACAGTTGGGGTAAGTTGAGACATATACTACAGTACTGGTGCCGGTTGTACGAAGGCCGGATAAGTAATTTTTTCAAGCTTGCTAAAATAACTCGTTGATTGGTATAACCCCGATAAAATTTTAGTATTTATGAATTGAAGTTCCTATTATTAAGTCTATAATTTTATAGATTTCGAAGCATTTTTACAACAATTGAAAAATCACTATCCGGTGGATAGTGTTGACCTTTGTACAACCAGCCCTTGGCAATAATTTGAAACATGCACTACAGTTGAGGCAATGACCAGGGCGACTGAGAAGTTGCCAGGAGCCCAGGGCAAAATGACCACAATATATACATAATTCTATATTTTCTCATTTTAGGCTGCAACACCATTGCTGAATGCAGAATACACTTAAGACTGATCAGGACAGATTGTAGTTTTAAATTGACATTTGTATCTCTGATCCTTGTTCTATTTTATTGTGTGATAGTGTATGCAATTGCACCTATTTTTTTCTATTGCTTACTTTCCCAAACGGAGAGAGCCTGGGTACGAGTCCCTCAATAAAAATTCTTAGAACCACCGAGTATTTTAACAAAATACAGAGAACAAGTGTATCTTTGGAGTCCCTAAATATTGTGATAATCAATACAACACACATACAGTAACAGAGCACATTGACTTTTACACAATCTCAAAGTTTGATGTACTTAATCTGGTCAATATTGATCAAGATACAGCCATTCAAAACAGACATGTCCTGGAATGGCTGTATGTTGATCAGTATTGACCCGAATAACATGAAACTTTGAGAATTTGTAAAGGTCAATGTGCTCTTTCTTATTTTGTGGGTGTTGTATTGATTGTCACAGTATCGAGGGACTCCTACCCAGGCTCTCTCGGTTTGAAAGTAGGCAATACACTTTTATAGTTTTGACTGTATGAATCAATTCGGATTCCATACTTGTGGCTTACAACAGCTTCAGACAGTTTCTTGAAATAAAGTTGATAGAAATAATCGGTTTCGATAAAGAAAAACAGCCCATAACTAATTCGTAGTTTAACTACTGTAAATCCTGATTAAGTACAATACATACAATTCACACTGGACTAGTTATAAACTGTTCAATTTCGTTTTTTTACTTTTTACTCGATGTAATCTCTCTGTATCGTATAAATTATTACATTTTATATCAAAATTCGTCTAGAGTAGATTTGTCTTCCGTAACAGGACTTACATCTGGGGCTTGCGACTCTTCGCTATTCGAATTATATAAATAATTTTCACTATTGAGGTCTTTTTGAATTACACTATCATGGATACTAGCTTGATTTTGCTCTTCAATGCTAGTCCTATCGTCGAGATTCTCTGTTAACTTTTCACTATCCCTTTGTTCGTTAATATCCTGAATATTTCTAACTTCGGATTTCTTGTCTGTCTTCATAGAGACGCTTTCGCTTTGCTTCAACATTTTATCCTCTCTGCTAATGCTTTCCTGTTTATCAGTTTCAACATACAAGTCCTGGCTTGTGTCGTTGCCAAATACATCTTGGCCTGGTTCTTCATTTCGACCACTATCGACATTTTGTTTCGAGTCTTCTTTCGCCCCATCATTGGTGATTGTTTCAAACGTCCTTTCAGCATCCTGTTCAGCACCTTCGCCTATGCTTTCACTACCTTCACCTTCTTGAGACTTATCATCGGGGTTACCAGTTTCAGATAACAAAACATGACCATCATTTTCATTGGTATCTTCAAACGAATTTAGATCCGCTGTTGTATCATGCTCGCCAGGATCTCTGATATCGCCAGTAGCTTGGGTATCATCTTTACTACCACTATACTTATATACAATTTTACCTACATCATTACCATTGATCAGAATATCACCACCGTCAACGCGAGGATTACCAGTCATACAATCCGAAAAATATACAATCTTACCTACATCATTACCATTCATTAGACTATCCCCACTAATGGTATTTTTGGTATCATCATCATATTTCTGAGTTCCCTGTTCGTGAGAAGTTTCCCCTTGGTCTGGAGTTAAATCACCATACATACTGTCTGTAATATACACATCTTTATCTACTGCATCCTTTTCATTCATCGAGCTATCAGAACTAGCGACAGTTTCTGCATTCTTGTCTACTTCATCTTGATTTATCTCACCATGTTCTTGAGCGGTTTCCCCTTGGTCTATGCTTGTATCACAATGCCTAGTATCTCTGTTTAATGCATCGTTAACATCCATAGAGCCATCAGAACTAACCATTTTTTCTCTAGACACAGCAGCCTTGTCTACTTCATCTTGATTTATCTCACCATGTTCTTGAGCGGTTTCCCCTTGATCTACGCTTGTATCACAATGCCTAGTATCTCTGTTTAATGCATCGTTAACATCCATAGAGTCATCAGAACTAACCATTTTTTCTCCAGACACAGCAGCCTTGTCTACTTCATGTTGACTTCTCTCAGACTCGCTGTGTTCTCCACTCTGTTCATGGGAATTTTCCCCTACAGTTTGCCGTAGTGTATTTACATCATAAACTGTATCCTCACCAGACAATTTTCTATCGCCTACATTTCCCACAACAAAAATCTCACTATCCCTTGTATTGGCAGGCTGAACAACAGTATTAAGAAATGCCTCGCTTGTTTTGCGCGCCTCGCTGCCTTCTTTGACAGACCAACACTCCTCTCCTTGAGAACTACTCACCTTTCGCGCTTTAATACTAAAAACACCATCCTGAAATTTCCCTACCACCTCGTCCACACTTCCACTTTTCGACTCACCATTTTCACCCAGTTGTTCCTTCTCCTGCCAGTTTTCCATCATGACGTCATAGAGCCAACGTTCACGTTTGTCAGCGGAATTAATCTCCCCCATCATAACCGATGCCTTAGTGTTCGCTTGCGTGTTTCGCGTTAAGAATTCAAATCCTGGTTGTTTCACGACATTTTTCATCAGGTGAATAAGTTTGTTTACTTCGTTTTCAACCTTGTCCAGTTTCCGAGATTCCACTGGCTGAGAAATTGGTTCATGTAAATTATTCTCCTGTTGTAATTCAGGCATTTGTTCAGCAGTTGCTTTTTCTTTCCCAGCGGTTTGAGTTGCGTCTGTGGAGGGCAGCGCTCCCTTTGTATTTGCGTCTAAAAAAGGAGTGGAAATTAAATCATATTTACAACGATCTGTGCCAGTACACATGCGTAAAAATTATGAGCCCGCTGTTTAACAGGATTGAACAATGTTGTGCGGCCCACATTGTTCACACTTGTCAACAATATTGAACAATATTGTTGAGCCTGAATCGGATGTAACAATATTGTTCAATATTGTTGACAACTGTGAACAATGTGGGCCGCACAACATTGTTCAATCCTGTTTTCATCAATATTGCAACAACCTGGTCGTTTTTAGCTGTGTAGGTGTTGCCAATAATAGTGATTGACCGATCGTGCAACACTCGGAAATTACCGATCATTCATGCCACAGTCTACCCGATACCGATTTTATAATGACGTCATAATATCAGTCGACCGAGTAAAGGTGACGTCATTCATGTCGATTTTTTAACGATGATTTCCAACGTAACATGTTACTACATCCAAAGATTGTTGAAACTGTTATTCAAACACTCATTAATAATTCATAAGCTTATTGGCAAATCATGTCAACCATAATGTCACGTGTAGTGGCTTTAAACCTGATAAAACACTCCTAATTAGTATTCTTTATATAGAGAATACTAATAAGGCAGTATCTATTGTAGTCGTGTCCTCATTAGTATTCTTTATATAAAAAGTACCAATAAGGCAATATATCTATTGAATTTATAGTCGTGTTTGAAACACTCCTGCTCGTTTATTAAACAGTACATAAATGACACGCCAGTATTAACGTGCAATGTATATAATTTTTAAAGTGCGTATTTTCTCAACAATCGGTTTTAGACAATCGGAAATATAGATAATTCTACCGATAAGGCAAAAATCGGCCCGATACCTATTATTGGTCAATCACTAGCCAATAATAAGGAATCTCGTCAACAAGTTTGTCAACAAGCCGTCAACAAGTTTGTCAACAAGCCGTCAACAAGTTTGTCAACAAGTTTGTCAACAAGTTTGTCAACAAGCCGTCAACAAGTTTGTCAACAAGCCGTCAACAAGTTTGTCAACAAGTTTGTCAACAAGCCGTCAACAAGTTTGTTAACAAGTTGTCTTCGCACTGCTTGTCACAAGTTGTCAACAAGTTTGGAACAAGCTGTTAACAATTTGTTGATATTATCAGGCTTGTTACAAGGCTGTTCCAACAAGTCCGATACAGTCATGATATAGCAGTATTGTTACAACCTTGTGTCGCCAACCTTGTACCATTCTTGTTATATCATGACTGTATTAGACTTGTTAGAACAACCTTGTGACAAGTCTGATAATGCCATCAAGATTGTTACAACTAAGTTGTTAACAGCTTGTTTCCAAACTTGTTACAACAACTGGGAACAAGCAGTGCGAAGACAACTTGTCGACAGATTGTGAACAGATTTCTAACAACCTGTTTGTAGATCTGTAACAACAGTAACTTGTGCGTTTTTGCGTACAGGAGAACTTCGACGTTTCGAGCGAGCTACTAAATACCGTGCGATGTTCTCTTTTTTTCTTATCACATGCGACGGACTTTACTTGTCATTTTCACTTGTCATATTGTTGTAAAATAATTTGGGCTTATATATAAACAATACTTGGTACAAACCTTTTTTCAAAGCTTTGTCAGCGAGGCGAACTCTGAGATTTTCTCGAGTACCATGATAACCAGCAATCTGTATAGATTTCTGCAAGACTTGTCCTTCGTTATGGAACAGAAATACTGCAGGAATATTGATGTTGTTACTGCTGCCATCCCCGCTCATTGCAAACATGGGTTGGCTCTCGCTTGAACTGCCTTCGTTGTTGTCTTTGATTCAAAGTAAGAAAATATTATAATTAGACTACAATACGTTCCTTGTAAGCCAGCCTAGAGAATACTTATGATTTATATGTGGTTTACAGGGATAAACTATTATAAACTGGCCGTTGAGAAAGATCTCACGATCTCTATTTTTAGGACCATTACGACCAAATGGAAACCAAGCTGGGGGTAAACTGCTTAAACAATGCTAGATTGCATTTATTTTCCGTACAGGGGGAAAATCATATGCCATTATGTTTTCAAGTACACATTTTTCAAATACTGAATATTCATCAACTTACCTATTATAATAGCCCCAACTGCCCCAAGGCTTTCGGCGATTCGCACCTGAAATAAGAGAAATTTGATGCAAAAATCAATTCACTGATACCGATAATGAGAAAAGAATATTGAGGATTTTAAATTACATTGACATTAGAGACGTTCAGATTTGGCATCTTGAGCCCCTCCCCCCGCCCTACTAGTAGGGACCTTTAGCAAATAGGTGACGGCAACGCGACGACGACGGACAAAATAAACTCGTTCGAACAAGTAACTTTAAGATCAACATGTCTTGTACTGTATTATCCGTTGTATGAATTTATTGCAATTTAAGAAGGTTAAGACAGAGGTTTATAGTTGAGAAGACTTCTACTAAGCCAATTTGGCGAGGACGACTTCTCGCGGCTTGAAAGGCAGACGTTGTGTACAAAACGTGAAAATCTTTGGTTTGCTGTTGTAAACAGAGCAAGGACGACGTCTAAAACTCCCATGGGACTTTAACTATATGCCTTTTCTTTCTACACTGTCATAAATTTCATTGTATTAATAGCCGACGCCGTCCTGCTAGCTAAAGGTTCCATAAAGAAGGAAATTTCTGCTGTCCGGCGGGGTAGGGGAGAAAAATTTGTTTCTGATAATAGTAATGTATTAGGACATCAGAAGGGGGTAGGGGGATTAACTTCCAATTTCTTCCGTGGAGGACCTATATATATGGATGTTTTCTGGAATGACCCATTCTCAACTAACCTTGTCTATAAACATACAGTCGCCTCTCTCCATGACCACGATCCTATGGTCAGCAGCTTCCTTATTTGTCAGTTCAGTACATCCCTTAAACGGATCCGCCAGGACGATCTCGGCACTGACGCCCATACCCGACTTGCCAAGGTCGATACCAAACTGCGCTGGGCCAGCATTCAGCACAATGTTGCCGTCGTAGGGAGGCGAGAGGATTTGTACGACACGAGGTAGATACTCTACTAAGGAAAATTCATAAGTACTATAGTATGTAGTAATTTTGTATATATTTGCATTACGCGCGGGAAAAATAACCATTTTTGAGCGGAAAGTGGTTATTTTTACCGCGCGTAATACAAATATATACAAAATTTGCGAACTTCACAGGGCTATATTTTCTTCATTTTACAACATTTAGAAACCAAACTGTGCAATTTTACTAATTTTGACAAGCTCTTTCCAGCTATGGTAATGATTTCGTTCTTCTTGCCTAGATCAAAATTTCGTGTATAGCTGGAATCACCCATTGTATCGGACTTAATGGTTACATCATCTCGTACCTGCGTCATTACTTCGGAATTTGGCCAGTTCTATCATTGACTGCATGAATGTGATACCTTCACTTGCCATCTCAGTATTGTCAGCCTGTTGATTATAAACCAGTTAGATTCTTTAAACTAAGACTAACTTCATACTGGATAGCTCTATCAGTTCTAAACTCCTCTTCCTAGAGGTTCAGTAAGGATCATCTCTTATTGGTCCAGTGTTACTACAGGAGGAAACCTAAACTAAACTAACTTTATTCTTACTGGATAGCTCTATCAGTTCTAAACTCCCCTTCCTAGAGGTCCAGTAAGGATCATCTCTTATTGGTCCAGTGTTACTACAGGAGGAAACATAAACTAAACTAACTTTATTTATACTGGATATCTCTATCAGTTCTAAACTGTTCTCCCTAGAGGTCCAGTAAGGATCATCTCTTATTGGTCCAGTGTTACTACAGGAGGAAACCTAAACTAAACTAACTTTATTTATACTGGATAGCTCTATCAGTTCTAAACTGTTCTTCCTAGAGGTCCAGTAAGGATCATCTCTTATTGATCCAGTGTTACTACAGGAGGAAACCTAAACTAAACTAACTTTATTTATACTGGATAGCTCTATCAGTTCTAAACTGTTCTTCCTAGAGGTCCAGTAAGGATCATCTCTTATTGGTCCAGTGTTACTACAAGAGGAAACCTAAACTAAACTAACTTTATTTATACTGGATAGCTCTATCAGTTCTAAACTGTTCTCCCTAGAGGTCCAGTAAGGATCATCTCTTATTGGTCCAGTGTTACTACAGGAGGAAACCTAAACTAAACTAACTTTATTTATACTGGATAGCTCTATCAGTTCTAAACTGTTCTCCCTAGAGGTCCAGTAAGGATCATCTCTTATTGGTCCAGTGTTACTACAGGAGGAAACCTAAACTAAACTAACTTTATTTATACTGGATAGCTCTATCAGTTCTAAACTGTACTCCCTAGAGGTCTAGTAAGGATCATCTCTTATTGATCTAGTGTTACTACAGGAGGAAACCCTATAAGCTAAACTTTATTTATACTGAAAAACTCTATCAGTTCTAAACTGTTCTCCCTAGAGGTCTAGTAAGGACCATCTCTTATTGATCTAGTGTTACTACAGGAGGAAACCCTAAACTAAACTTTATTTATACTGGAAAACTCTATCAGTTCCAAGCTGTTCTTCCTAGAGGTCCGGTAGGAGTCATACTATATTGCATGCTTGTGGATTTTATTTTTGTGGAAGTTGCCAATCTCCGAATGGAGCTTACTCTATGCCTGCCCAAATATGTGATTCATTCATACTCCATATTACATACCGAGCTTGCATCTTGCATCAGTTGTACTTTACCATCGTCAGTTTTAGTGACTGATATTCCCATGGCTTTCAATATTAGAAGGTGGTCTTTATTGCCAGGAATAAACTGTTCAGCTCGAAGTAGAGGAGCAGTACTAGAAGAAGAAAAATATGAATGAAATTTGCAAGCACTACATCCTGTCACTGTGATAATATTTCAAACGTGGTGGTCCAGTGTAGGCAGTATTCTACAATAAGCTGTCATGGTTTGTGTCTGAACTACCTGAAAAAGATACCTCAAACGTGGTGGTCCAGTGTAGGCAGTATTCTACAATAAGCTGCTGTGGTTTGTGTCTGAACTACCTGAAAAAGATATCTCAAACGTGGTGGTCCAGTGTAGGTAGTATTTTATAATAAGCTGTCGTGGTTTGTGTCTGAACTACCTGAAAAAGATATCTCAAACGTGGTGGTCCAGTGTAGGTAGTATTCCACAATATGTTGCCGTGGTTTATGTCTGAACTACCTGAAAAAGATATCTCAAAGGTGGGGATCCAGTATTGGTAGTATTCTACAATAAGCTGTCGTGGTTTGTGTCTGAACTACCTGAAAAGATATCTCAAAGGTAGGGATTCAGTGTTGGTAGTATTCCACAATAAGCAGCCATGGTTTATATCTAAGTCTGAACTATTTAAAAGATTAAAAACATTCGCTTTACAACTACGTAAAGTCTTACGTTTTACTCTTAACAAAACTCTGTTTCTCTTTTGTCTTTGGACAACTGCGATCTGCATTTGTTTGACGACTTCGTTTACGTATTTTCTCGGCGAACGACATCATGCTGTCATCTTTTGTAGTCCTGGGACACGAGTGATCATGGAGGTTCTCACTTTCATAAACATTGTTCTGTCAAGAAAACAATTTCCACTTTTCACTGAGAAACCGGTCACAGAATAGAGACTATACAGAAGCACGACGTCTGGGTTTTTCCCATATCATCAAAATTCTGACGCCATGGTCACAGAATACCATACAGATATCCATCTAATGGTCCATCTCCATTGGTTTTTGCGTAAGCGCTATTCGTCATGATTCGTCACTCAGTAAGTACCGTAAACAGAAGCAGTCCCCCCTGGAAATACTCAAAATGGCGCACGTCCAGGGGGTGACTGCTTCTGTTTACGGTACTTGCTGAGTGGCGAATCATGACGAATAGCGCTTACGCAAAAAACAATGGAGATGGACTTCTGTATAGTATTCTGTGCCATGGTCTTAGCCAGTGCGCTTACGAGAGGCATGCACCCCCCTGATAATATTCAAAATGGCGAACGTACAGGGGGGATGCCTCTAATAAGCACACAGGCTAGGATGAAGGAATTCCTATATCTGATTATCTGATACAGAAATCATGCTGATTTAAAAAACTTTAAGTTCAAATTTCTCACAAAATATCATTCATATATTTTAAATTGTTGAAGAATACGAATGTTCTCATCAACACATTTCACAATATCCGATACAATATGTTCATATTGTAAATAGTATTAATTGTGTAGCACTTATTAAATAAGGTTTCATGACCATATTCAAGTTGCATTTACCTGGCTGGACGAGCCATTCCAGTTTGACAAGGCAAGTGGTAAAATGTGAGCTTCTGTCGTGAAAACAAAGTCCTGTAAATTGATCAGCAAATCTTCTTTATTCGTAAACAACAAGTACAGATACTTGAGTGTTTCAGAAAGTAGGAAAGAATCCATTCTGGAAAATGTGGAAAGATAAACCGGTTCTTTAAAAGTGCATATGACATGAAATTTCTTATTTTCTTAAATGAAAGAACTCTTTAAGTTGTAGTGTAACTTATTTTTCAGTTTCTTGTTTTTATGGTTTGTTCCCGAGATATTTCAGTTTGTTTGATATGTAAATGAGTGTGAATATGTCCACTAATTTATGATGTCATGTTGGTTGCAAGGTCAACTTACACTGGTTGTAAATGTATTAACTCTAAAAACTGTTGATACCAGTTTACGTTTTTCTCCAGTGTTTCTTCACATTTACCAGTGAGTGGAGTTTGAAATTATCATCTTGGATAATAGCAGTGATATTCAACCATTTTGAAGAGCTTGCAACCAACATGACGTCATAAATTAGCGGACATATTTGCACTCACTTACACATCAAACAAATTGAAATATCTCGGAAACAAACCATAAAAACAAGAAACTGAAAAATAAGTTACACTACAACTTAAATAGTTCTTTAATTTAAGAAAATAAGAAATTTCATGTCATATGCACTTTAGAGGCACACCTTGAATTGGGAAACGTTTATAAATATATGTCTAGGTTAAAGACTGCGTTGTTTCTCCAGGTACCCCAGTTTGCTCCTGTAGTAACTATGGATCAATAACAGACGGCCTTTGTTTTGGACCTCCAGAGAGAACAGTTTAGAACTGATACAACTATCGAGTTAGTTTAGTTTAGGTTTCCTCCTGTAGTAACACTGGATCAACATGAGATGATTCCCCTGGACCTCTATAGGAAGAACAGTTTAGAACTGTTGGAGCTATCCAGAAAAAAATAAAGTTAGTTTAGTTTAGGTTTCCTCCTGTAGTAACACTAGATCAATAAGAGATGATCATTACTGGACCTCTAGAAAGAACAGTTTAGAACTGATAGAACTATCCAGTATAAATAAAGTTAGTTTAGTTTAGGTTTCCTCCTGTAATAACACTGGATCAATGTGAGATGATTCCTCTGGACCTCTAGGGAGAACAGTTTAGAACTGATACAACTATCTAGTTAGTTTAGGTTTCCTGCTGTAGTAACACTGGACCAATAAATGATCGTCCTTTCCTCTATGGAAAACATTTTAGAACTGATAGAGCTATTGAGATAGTGAAAAAAAATCAGTTTAAAGTGTCTTAGGTTACCTGTTTTCATGGCTCAGTGTCCGCACGTCTTTGACAGCAGCAAAACCACAGAGCACCCTAGTATATTTGTTCAGATTCTCCACAATATATTTGCCAACGTCTAGATAATAAGGATCTTTGGTAGCCTCGTACAGAAAGTACGTGCTTTCGACAAGCTCTGGACGGAGGAAATGTTGACCCCAATGAACTTCAAAATTCGTTGTAAATGCCTGAAAATATCAATATTTATTTATTGATTTACACTTTTCCTCTCACGCTTGGAGCCCGCAACTGGCAGCTAAGGCCATTTACTGCGAGACCATTATGTTCGTGCTTCCTATATCCTCAGGTTTGATTTAATGTTTGGTTTAATGCGTTCTGGTAATATTCTCTCAATAGAGATTTGAAACAAGACAGAGACATTGTGTTTCTTCGTATTTCTCTAGTTTCCTCCTGTAGTAAACACTGGATAAATAGGAGATCGCCCTGACCGGACATGTATGAAGAACAGTTTAGAACTGGTAGAGCTATCCAGTATAAATAAAGTTACAGTCGTGCCAATAGAAGCGTTCCGAAAAATGTTGAGCAGTTCATTTCCTAACTTGAAGGAATACCTCTGAACAATTCCTTAAAATTTTGAAAATTTCTTTAAAAAGTTCCTAACTTCCTGTTTCATTGACCAATCAAATTTTATATTTTATTTTTGAGCAATCTGATTGGTCAATGAAACAGGAAGTTAGGAACTTTTTAAGGAACTTGAAGAATTGTGTTCAGAGAAACTCCTCGAAGTTAGGAAATGAACTGGTCAACATTTTTCGGAAATCTTCTATTGGCACGACTGTAGTATAGACTTATAGTTTAGGTTTCCTCCTATAGTAACACTGGATCAAAAAGAGATGACCCTTATTACTGAACTTCTAGAGAGAACAGTTTAGAACTGATAGAGCTATCCAGTATAAATAAAGTTAGTATAATTTAGATTTTCTCATGTAGTAACACTGGATCAATAAGAGATGACCCTTACTAGACCTCTAGGGAGAACAGTTTAGAACTGATAGAGCTATCCCGTATAAATAAAGTTAGTTTAGTTTAGGTTTCCTCCTGTAGTAACACTGGATCAATAAGAGATGACCCTTACTGGAACTCTATAGGGAGAACAGTTTAGAACTGGTAGAGCTATCCAGTCTAAAGCACGTTAATTTATACTTTAAGTACAAGATTTGTAAATTATTCTTTGTACTGTATATAGTCTGTAGTACAAACCTCAGGCAAGAATGTGTGTCTTTTCGCAACACTGTAAAACACCTCATGCAACTCTATGGCGGATTTTATATCTCCCTTCAATACCTGGAAAAGAAATGAAAAACTAGCTTTTCAAAAGCCAGAACTCCGATTTCAAATGCCAGAGCTCCGTTTTCAAATGCCAGAGCTCCGTTTTCAACTGCCAGAACTCCCTTTTCAAAAGCCAGAACCTCGTTTTCAAATCCCAGAACTCCCTTTTCAAATGCCAAAACTCTGTTTTCAACTGCCAGAACTCCGTTTTCAAATGCCAGAGCTCCGTTTTCAACTGCCAGAACTCCGTTTTCAAAAGCCAGAACTCCGTTTTCGGCTGGATATATGAAAATTGTCAACCAATTGGGTTTGAACGATTTATAGTAGACACAAAAAATTTTCTTCGGTGCCTGGTCCCCTATCGCAATTTGCAAGCTTCAAGCGAAGCGACAAGTTTGGACCACGCAAGGCTAACTGAAAATTTTTCGGCTACCTGCAAAAAAACTAAATATACAGGCATGCTTGCTTTTCTCTCCCCTTTTTTGTACTGCACCAATCTTCAAGTTAAACTGTTTGTTGACCAAAACATTGCATCGTTGTAGGAGTGATGCTTGTGATGTTACTCTGAGTGTATATCCACACCGGGCAAGCTTGAAAAATATGCCTGGCCACGGTGGGAATTGAACCTACGACCTTTGGAATACTAGCCCAATGCTCTGCCAACTGAGCTATGCGGTCAGGTCGGTTCGAGTATATGATATTTCGGAACTGAGTCTAGTTCATCTAACCATTGCAGTTAACCCAAGAGACACATGCACGCACCTGTAATCCAGGCCAGAATGCCTGCAGAGAATCCATGTATGTGACAGAACGTTTACTTGGATTGTTCATGTGTACGTTGAGAAATAACGAATCTCTGTTGATGTAGCGCATCACTGCCTTGTAGTGCTAACAAAGAGAAGATAGTTTATTGTTTCGGTTTGGTTTGCGGGAAACACCATTGGACACGGGGGGCAAGTGGGACAGGGTGCAGTGAAAGTCAACATGGACGTCACCCAAAATTTGGGTATTTCTGATTTTGGCGGCATTGTGCATCGTAGTACTCGTGTAAGAAAGCAGAAAACTTTAAAAATTACCACATTTACTAAAAGATTACCACAAACTGATATAAACACAGCTTTTAATCCAGCCCCCCCCCCGCCGCAATCTGACGTCTGTGTTGACAAAAGCGACGCTTGCTTTAGCTCGCTAATGTAACAATAGTTTTTCAACTATGACAGCACTGGACAGTAGGCTATAAGTTAAGCTATATGTTGCAGGGAATTGAACATTTACCTGATTAAATCTCTGTAAATAATCTTCTTCTCCAAGAAGGATGTAAGCTTTGAGACAGTACTCATAATAGGAGTCAATGCCAGCACCTACTCCACTGTCTGTGGCAATGGAAAAATATGTCAATTTATCACACAGTACAGTGCACAGGGCTTGAAATAACATCCTCAAAGTTCCCAAAGCTTTTCTGCTGATCATAAGCAATTTCTTGTCGACCATTGATCGGCTGTTGTTTCAACCCCTGGTGCACGACTACAACATGTTTGTTTCATGACCTAGAAACTCTGAAATACTGTATGTATGTGTAGAAAGTATCGCTTATTTAAAGTCAGATATAAACTTTTTGTTCTTACCTCGTCTTACCCACTCGCCATTGTGTATATTAATGACTGTGCCAACAAGATCACTTGATCTGCTACGGTATGTCCACAGCGCTTTCATCGCTTTATGGGCAACAGTCTAAACCAAGTGCAAGAAATGTATTATGATTATCATTCTTCACTTCAGGGGTCAAAATTTACATTTGCTTCTACTATACAACTGAAATAGTAGATTTTGAAATTCACTATTCCGTATTTCCGTTTGAAGATCCACTAGGCCTAAAAAATACCTGCGGTTCCAGTTTCGTATCGTGAAAAAAAATTAGGGTCAGTATTCAGAGCCTGAAATAATTTTTAAATTTGTCCGGAAAAACTTCCGATCAAAACGAAATTTGACAGGAAATTTGCAAAATTGACCAGAATTTTTTTTAGTTTAGTTTGACCAAGTCCAACCCCCCCCCCCCCCAATGAGCAAACTCTGTCAAACATTATAATTATATAAGCGCCCTGGTTTTTATCTTGACCCGACAACACCACGCTGTAAGCCGCCATCTTGTTTATTGGGCCCGTGAACTATACCTTCCAGTTGATTACTTTATATTTGCCTAATATAGATAATCCTTTACTTACAGATGTTGGCCGGACAAAATTTCCGATCATTTCAGCATTTGGTCAGAAAAATCGGAATTTGGTCGGAAAACCGCCGGCCGTTATTTCAGGCTCTGAGTATTAAATTTTTAAAAATATTTTTTCATGACTTTGGCGGTTTTTTGCTGGGTGATTTTCAGTAGAGTGCTGACAACAGGTCTACTCCATTTTGGCATGCTGTATGAGCAGCCCGCAACCACCCAGAGAAAATAGAAAAAATAATAGGGTCGGCAGAAAAAATAGGGTCAGTCAGGAAACCGAAACCACAGGTATTTTTTTAGGCCCTATTCCTTTTTTGTCTCTCAACCCCATCATTTGTTCATGAGTAAAAATGAGTGAAATGAGCTCCATATTATTGCCTTTATTCTTACTTCAAATTTTGGATCACCAGTCAGTCGGCTTAAAGCTCCAAATTCCATGATCATAGTACCAGCACAGGCCGTACATGTAGCAGATTCTGTCCCAGTGCGTGATCTGGGGTCTGCTACACCATATCTTAGGTTGACCTGTGACAGAGGAAAGGTTACTGTAGTTTAGAAATCTCAACATCTATGAAACTTATGCCAACTCAGTTTTCCCTTTATTAAGTACCCATTTTGCTGCAGAGCTTCCCCATTGACAAGTAAAATCATCTGGCGTTAGACAAGTAAAAAAAATAAGTAGGGCACACTGGGGTGCATTGCGGCTCAATGGGTTAACTAGAGACATTGTCAGATTTTTTGGGTAACCCATTAAGCTGCAGAGCTTCCCCATTGACAATTAAAATCATCTGGCATTAGACAACAACTGATTGACAAGTAAAAAAAATTAAGTAGGGAATACTGAGACGCATTGCGGCTCAATGGGTTAAGTGGAAATGTGCCCTAATTTATTATTTTACTCTGTCTAACACCAGGGAATTTTACTCATGTTCAAGGAGAGAGTGCTGCAACTCAGTGGGTAACTACTAATCAGACTGATCTGCCCATGCATCCTGTAAGTGGCAATACATCCTGATCTGCCCTACTTTCTCATGTCACTCTGTCTAACACCAGACAATTTTACTCATCAAGGGGAGAGCACTGGCACTCAATTGGTTAAAGAGTGTATGGCCATTTACATAAATGCTCTAGCAATATACAGTACAGTACAAACTTATATATACTATACTGTCTATACAGTACCTTAGGGTAAGGAATACCAGTGGTTGTATTAAACGCTGGCATTAATCGTTCCCCAATTTCTTTTGCCATAGTTAGTAGTTCATCATTATACCACTCCATTGCTAAACCATCATTCTTTAAAACATCTGCAGCTACATGGCCACCAAGTAGACCTCTGATAGAAAATAACATAAAGCCAGTTACAAAGTTTTCTATAACAAGTTTTCATATGCCAAGTTTTCTTTATGAATTGCATGTGTGCATATGTATGTACAACAAATTTCTAAGTTTTTGGTTAAATTCTGATTGAATCTGGTTTTCTAATGAAAAGAATTTTATTATTTGTACTTTGCCAGTTTTTTTTCTATGACAAGACTACACTTGTTCACAAACTAGCATACTTTCCTTTCCCTCTAAAGCTGGAGTTACACAAGCAACAAAATTGCTGCAACTTGCAACAAAATCTGATTTCAACGCTTGTTAAGTAGAAATGTCGACACATGTTGCCTTGTGATTTGTAATTTATGTGTAAACATTTTCAATTAACATGCGTTGAAATCAGATTTTGTTGCAAGTTGCAGCAATTTTGTTGCTCGTGTAACTCCACCTTAACTCACCCTAGAACACGAATATTTGTTTCAAAAGTTGATACAACAATGTCGTTATCAAACTCGACATCATCAATCACTAATTTGACAGCATCTTCAAACTTATTAATTTCTCCAAAAATCTAAAAAAATAACTAATATGAAATCTCAGAAAACAAGAGAAATAGTATAAAATTGAACAATTTTTTACTTACAACTAAACTATCTAACGAGTCAATCAATGTCATAGAAAAACTAAATGGTAAAAAAAGGAAAATGCAGTTTATATTAAGTACATTACATAGCATGGCCAGATTTTGAGGGGAAGTGTCGGGAGGTGCGCACCTCCACTGAGATCCACCCCCCCCACTGAAAAGTCATGCCAAATTTCCATTGACAAAAATGTTGCTTAGGTCTACACTTTGCGAGAATTAGTTTTTCTGTAAAATTGAAACAGTGATAGCCATTCATCTCTGTGTCAAGTACCCTTTTAATTAAGGCAATGCTTCGAAGAAACTTTGTAAAAATGTAATGAAGGAGAAAATTGGATAGGTCATACTGTGGGGGCCACAAGTTAGACCACTGCACATCCCATAAATTTCTTTCCACCTTCCCACCAAAATCCAGCCTTGTTAAACAGTCATAAATTTCAAAAACGTTGTCCGGCATCAGGGTAAATCAATATTGGCTTATTACAAGAGACAGATTTTCATATTTTCGTTTGGGGGGTGGATAAATATCTGGGGGGGGGGGTGCTGCTGCTTGCTTTGGCCGGGGCGTGGTGGCAATGCCCGGAAAGGCCAAGGAAAAAGTTTAACAAAATTTGTTTTCTAGGCCTGGATGGCGAGATCTGAGACCATAATATTGGTAATTTTACAAATTTAGTAGTAAATTTAGTAGTATTTTACAAATTTAGCAGGGGTGCCAAATGCCTTTGAGGGGGTGCAAATCATTTGGGGGGGGGGCACACCCCCCCCCCGAAAATCTGTGCCTGCTTATTACATTAAAATAACCATTACATACTTTCCTAATATATCATCAACATCACCACGGGAAGGCTCTGTGCCTCGATACCGCCCTTTACAATTTAATGGCATCAACTCATCCGCCGGGTAAGCATAGGTCTAGAACAAGAATATGTTACAAAATAACTGCCATGGTTTGTGTCTGAACTCCCTGAAAAGATATCTCAAATGTGGTCAGTGATCCAGTGTAGGTACAGGTGTAGTATTCTGCAATAAGTTGTTGTGGTTTGTGTTTGAACTACCTGAAAACAATATCTCAAATGTGGTGGTCCAGTGTAATTAGTATTCTACAATAAGTTACTGTGGTGGTCCAGTGTAGGTAGTATTCTACAAAAAGCTGTTATGGTTTGTGTCTGAACTACCTGAAAAAGATATCTCAAATGTGGTGGTCCAGTGTTGGTAGTATTCTACAATAAGCTGCCGTTGTTTGTGATCTGAACTACCTGAAAAAGATATCTCAAATGTGGGGGCATATTGTAGGCAGTATTCTACCAATATTCTATAATACAAAGATTAACCTATTAGCGCATTGCGACAATAAGTTTACACATCAAGGGGAGATCAGCTCTGGTACTCAACATGTGCCAGTATGGAATCTAAGCGCCGGACATGTCTGGCACACAACCATCTGTACAGCAATATATTTACTAGTATTTGGCGCACATGTCCGGCGCACAAAAGTCTCATTCCATACATACATTTTAGACTTTTTGTCAGACGGATATCTAGTAACTCAAGACATTTATTTCAACTGTTTATTTCAATTGAGATATCTTTTCAATTTTTTATTTATTGTTTCTGTGGTCATGTGTAACCATGGTATAATATTTTCATTGTAAATATTTTTAAAAATAAAATTTGTTAATTCACCTGTACGTATATATATAAAAATGGTTTTAATTTTCAACAAAAAAATACAGAATTCGGAATTCACATTAATCATGAGATATCAGCATTCACTACAAAACTTACACCATGTGAACTCAGATTTCAAGTGCATTGTTCTGTTTAATATCATTCAATGAACAACACGAATTTTATTAAAACAGAATACTCATGCAATTATACACATGTAAACACAAAAAATAAAATGTAAAAGACATACCATATAGGAATTATAAGCATGGCGAAACATATCCTTTACAATTTCTCTAAAAATAAAAAACACAATCACATTTCTCCACTTTTAAAAAGCCATTCATATCACTGCTGTTTACATACAATACTTGCAACGTGTCCTGTTTAGTATACTGTTTATATTCACACTAACCTCATTTCAATTCGCTCGTTTTTTGTCATACAGTAACACGACGGTACTGAGAAAAAGGCCATAAAAACTACATATATCAATGTCATTGTTGAGGTATTCTCCTGGCTAGGAGCGCCTCCAAAAACTTCACAAACCGAATCGATTTCTTTCGAATATTTACGCTCAACCGCCAGCCATTTTGCAAATTTATTCTCTGCGAATAAAACGGAAGCATTCAATGAACGGAAGTCAGGAAGAAAACCACATCACGTGACAACAGAAGATTCATATTATTTTCTCGCACCCCCCCTGAAAATAAATTGAAACATGCGCGCGGGATTATCTCGCATAATACTAACGCGTCCGACAAGCGTTGCATAAAGGTCCATACACACCGGACGCAATTTAACATTTTTCAAATATTTAGAAGTGCTATAACATTTTGAGTTATTTGCTCTACATATCTTTCAAAATTTCCTCTAGATCTCAAACATAAAAACTAAAAAATTGCGTCGCGTTGTCGAATAGCGTCCGGTGTGTTTGGACCTTAACTAAAAAGTAAAAACAAACACGTTGCACCGACATGGTTGCTCCGGTTTTCGGGAAACATGCATTTTAGTGAATATAGTGGGCTTATACACAGGGGGCTTATACCGGGATAAGGGTTATATTCTGAGGTTTATAGTATATTACTATCCAATGTTTCATATATCCTAGCTGAATCATACAATTCAAGACAATATAAACATGGTTGACTCCGAAAAGTACTGACAGTGACTTTTGCCATCACTCTTTTCACTTTTGCCATCCTTTTCGTGATTGACATTAGGCGCCTTTATGGCCAAAGTGAGATACTTTCCAAAACGATGTATTCTGTATGGATACAATATGTGCAAGATTTTAGAAACTTTATATCCAGGTTAAGTTATTTATTATTAACTAATTATTAAATATAGGTTTCATAAATACAAATACCAATAAAGCCAAACTAAGAAACTTTCCTTTTTTGACGATTGAAGCAAGCTTTAGACAAGAATATTTTCCCATCAACTATCGTCAAAAAAGGAAACAAAACAGTACAAAATATAAAGCTTAGTTATACCTTTCGTGTCTGAGCCACTAGAAACCAACGGCGGGGCAACCTCTTCTGTAATCGTTAATTGACGGTATAGATTTCACTTCGGCTTCATCTTTTCTAGCGGATTCATCGTCATGGCCGAATCTTTATTAAAATTTGAACCTTTCACAAGCAAATACATGCGAATAATATATATTTTCACCGAATTTATTTTGAAAACAAATCATTTTGAGAGAGTCTAGAGACTCTAGACGTAGGCTATCTCGCACATGTCTCGAAATCGCGCAATCAGTGGGAAATTTGCACTGCACCCGTTCCGCACGTTGTAACCAATAATTTATTGGCGTTGTAATGCCATTTACATTGTATGCATTAAAGTATTGGGTTGTAACTGGAGACAAAATCACAAGCATTACACAGAATTTTGGTTATAAGTCAATATCCCACTCAATATAAAGAACCTGCTAAATCTTACGACTCCTTCAAAAAAATAATGAAAAAGTACTTCTCACAACTAAATTTAATAGAATAACATATTCCTGTAAGCATAGAAAAACTATAAATCAAAAATTGAATTGTAAATATAGCTTACTACCATATCATATAATATTTAACTATTCTTTTTCCTTTCTCCTAAAAGCACTCGAACTGATGCTGCATATTATTTTGCTAATTAGTTTAAATTTATAACCTAGGGGCCTAAAACAAAAAGCCATATGGTTTCTAGTAGGCTCCTAGCCCATTTCTTGTAAATAGTTTATTTCTTGTAAATAGTTTATTTTGTAAATAGTTTATGTGCAATATCAATATCTTGGGCGAATCAGCAAAAAAAAAAAAAATAAGTGTAATTGATTTAGCTTGGCGGACGGTGGGGAGCCGGATGTGAAATCTCCGAGGGGTAGCTGGCCGGCTCTTGAGTTAGGGGTTAGGGTGTGGGGTTAGGGGTTAGCAGGTGGGGTTAGGTGTTAGGAGGTGGGGTTAGGGGTTAGGGTTAGAATTACGCTTTGCATTAGGATTAACGTTTGGATTAATTGTAGACCATCACAACCCAATACTTTATTGCAAACAATGGCATTACAACGCCAGTAACTTATTGGTTACAACGTGCGGAACGGCTGAAATTTTCCTGCGTCCCGATTGGATGATGCCCAGGCATGCGCTCCGTTTACCCGAGTCTCAAGTTATCGCGCATGCGTTCGTTCCAAAGCTTTGGTAAACACAGAGCTAAAGTGTCCCACATGCACCAAACCGGACAACTATTACGTACTTATATACCGAGCTGTTACTATAACTTGTGTGTGGTAGTACCCAATCACAGGGTCTTGCGAAAAGGGTGCCAAGAATTATGGTTTGGGGACGCCGCCACTCTCCCACACGGCTAAGCATTTTTTATATCAAAATGCGCATTAAAATTCCCCTGTACAAAAACGTTTTGCATCAATATGCGTTTTGAACATTTCTAAGTCGATCTAAACCGAAAAATGGCCCGAAATTTCCTAAGTTTGACTTTGGTTTAAAAGGCAGCACTTGCCTTGCGATGGTAACTTCTAGTTTCTAGTTGAGTCGATGCACGAAGCCGGCGAACGGCTAAGCTAGTCCCCGAGCCGACGGCGCGAAGCGCCGTGCGAGGGTACTAATTCCCCCCGGCTATTTACACCCGGGGAAACGAAAGCATTAGCGAAGTCTAAAGTTCATCAAATATCGCGGGCGTCGGTCACCAACGATGGGTGGTCATTCTCACTGATCTCTAAAATATGGCTGATTGCGTGTAGGAGTGGGATGAGCAAGATTTCAATTTTAGAGACATATATTTGAAAAATCGTTTCATATACAACAAGCTTAATTGAAGCAATTTTGTTTGAAGAGATGAGAAGAATAGATTTACTATGGAAAATCGTGAAATATACGGCAAGTTTCCTTCGAATATTTAATGTTTACGAATTTTGTTTCTTTAGTTAACTTTTTGCCTATAAACATGAACTGTTTTCCTTTTCAACGAAGCTCTAACTTTCATAAATTACAGTTTAACTTGAGGAAAAATCTTAAAATGTAAAGGAGAACAAATTGATTTGAAGACTGAACTGAAATTACCTAACAATTAGTTTTATTTGTAACTTATTATGTTTTATATTTATTAGTTTATCGGCAAATCAACTATAGTTGAATGAAGATTTCAAAACATTTTACGAAGCGTTTCAAGCTAAATTTTACATTAAATCAAAGCTTACAAAATGCAAAATAATATACCTACAGTATATAATATGGAAATTTATTGTTGCATAGTTAAAAGTACGAATCTTTGAACTATTTTGCAGTTTTGACAAAAAATATGAAAAATTAAAAATTTAAGAATATCGTGTTGTCATGGCAACACTTGAGCGCGAGCCTGCGTTCAGTGGGCCATGTCTGAATACTTCATGTTAATTTAATGTTTGGAAAATATTGGCGATGGGTTACTGCATGCATGTATTTCTAGTAGAAAGTATATTAAAACACGGCTAAGGACAGCTAAGCATTTTTTATATCAAAACACCCATTAAAATTGCCCTGTACCAAAACAATTTGCATCAATAAGTGTTTTGAACATTTCTAAGTTGATCTAAACCGAAAAATGGCCCGAAATTTTCTAAATTTGACTTTGGTTTAAAAGGCAGCACTTGCCTTGCGATGGTAACGTCTAGTTTTAATTGACACGATCCACGTCGATCCACGAAGCCGGGGAACGGCTAAGCGTGGTAGAAACTA